AATCGTGATGCATTTCTAACGAATACCCATTGAGCACGTGCTGCATCTGCCTGCTAGACCAAGCTACGAGTAGCCCTATGGTATAAGTTCTGATTTTTCTCAGTCAAAGTTTCAATGCCTTTAACTTTTCTTACGCACTGAGAAGAAATTCTCGCGTTTACCTTGACTTTCCTCTCTGTTTTTCTATACTTTTTTATTATTCCTTTTTGAAACAGTTAACCAAATTATCTTGCATTATTTTACGGATATATTAGGTTGTCTAATAAATAATTTTGGTCGCTTGCGGCTTCTACAAACGCTGCAAACAATTTTTTGCTCAGTATCCAGTATTTCTGAAAATTGCACTCTAATGAGGATTGGAATGTAAAATGTGCTTAAAAAGAATTCAATATCCAATGAAAGAAATTCGCAAAAAAGTGAGAAACCATAGTTTTTCGCTGTGAGCAAATATGCGAGAATCTATTTTTTTATCAAAGAATACTGGAAAGACAGATCAGGATTTTTATGGTTATATGCCAAGTAGGGCGAACTTTCCCTATCAAATTAACAAATTGCTGTTCTCTAAATCCATTGCAGCAAGAAAACGAAGCTCAAAAAGTGGCACAATTGAGCTTTTGGAATCTTTGGCATATTGCGGCATAACTGTCCCTTACTGATCATTGAAGTTCCTGAATAGTTGATGTATGGTAGAAAAATCTAAGCTACTTCCCCACAAAAAAATCGTGGATGAAAAACAACTAGGAAAGTTTTTATGAAGATTTTTATGCCAAAACGTAATTAATTTAGCCAAGTTAATAGTTTATTAGTGCAACATCCTATACTTAGGGGCTAATATTTATGTGAAAAGTCATGTAATCTGGTATTTGCTCTGAGGTAATTTTGCTAGGAGTCGTTTATCCGCTTTATGCATGCTCGTTTTACAGTTTCAAATAAATGGGGTTCAGGAGCACAGACGGTAATGAATTGAATTATGCTATTTTACCAAATCAAGTACTCCTAATGAGCAGCCCCTTTCCCCCTCCCCCTATCAAGAATCAACCAAACTTTGTTGAAACTGGTTGATTTGTGTCGTTATAAGGTTTGAAAATCTCACTCCTTTTTCGTATACCTCCGATTGAGGAGTGAACATACGAGTAAACAGACGTCATTAGGGTTCACACTCATTTGTTGGGGACTTCAAAGGTCAAAAATCCAAATTTCTTTTCTAATCGCATAGGAAGCACTACTGAATCACATCAGTTCCAAGCAGCTTTCCAATTTACGCTTGAACCTGCAGCCATAGCTGTGGGCCTGTAGAAAAACTTTTCTTCCATTCACTCTATGTAAAGCATTACATTAGCATTATTTTGGAGAGCTTGTATACGAGTATATTATTCTCTTGTATAATTGTCTGCCAAGCATCACCTCAGTAAAACTAAAGTACCCTTACTTAACTCATTTCACTAAATGCTTAGCACTTAGCTCCCTTCCAAGAAGAGCTCAAAAGTGCAAGCACTGGGATTACATACTGATGTATGCTCATTAAAGCCTTTCGAACATTTGTCTCTTCAATATCTCTTAATTTACATGTTTCTGAGGGTACCTAAAGTTCCGGGCATACTTCACGCGATTTCAGTAACGACGCGATTTGGCAATATTCCAATTGTCCATAACTCACTGTAAGCACATTTTAAACGTACAGAGGATAGGGCATTCTATCCATCCACGTAAGTTTTAAACACTATGCATGTGTAGTTTGCTAATGTTGGATCTGAAGACTTTTGGCGAACTGCCAAATCGGTCGCGATTGCAATCGCGTGAAGTATGCCCCTGCCCTTCACTCATTTCAAAAATAGCTTCCTGTATTCTAATGAATCTTTTCAACACCGTTCTAACAAGAGATATCAAATTTAAATAATTGTAAACAAACTCGTAAAATTCCAAATTTAGATGAAATGAAATCAAGGGAGTCATGCAACCTCGCTTATAACAAGAAATGGTTTTAAAAAAGTCTAATTTTTGGTGGGAAAATCACCAAACTCCGTTTCGCGTGCTCATAGACGGTGTAAAAGTATTTGCAGACCCTGGAACTCCCTGGAACTCCTCAAAACTGAAGAAACCTAATTTCAATCGTATTATGTTGGGTAATCACAGATAAATTTATAATTTTAGGTTGCCGTCTCCCCCCCCCCCCCAAAGAAAACGTTATAAAACTTTCAAAAAATTCAGTTCAAAGCTTCTTGAATTCAATTCTCTATGATGAACATAAAATGAAGAATCTTGGAAAGTTCTTGAATTTTTCAAACCTTCCTTTCCCCCCTCGTCTTTGCAAGCCTACAGGAACCAGCTTCATGTACGAAACAGTGCCAAAATTTATAAATAAGTATATAGAAGAGGAAAAGCACAAGTAAATGTAAAGAAAAATCCGAAAAGACTGGAAATTCGAGAGTAAAGTGTCCTAAACTTGTTGGTCGTTTGTGCATTTGCAGCATCACTAACGCTGTCGCGCACGCCCTGTCGTGCCCTAGTTGGGTAGCCAATTTGAGGGTTCTAGAAAGCTCCGGGATATTTTTTAGAGTTTTACAAAAAAAGCAGCCAACTCAATAGATATTATGATGATGCATACATTGTAAGCAATAATATTAGGCCATTCCGAAAGTAATTTCGCTTCATTCAAACGGATGCCACATAAGATGGAACAAAGATTTCTAAGAGATCTTGGTAGCATTCGATGCAACATTCCATCCCCTTTTGAAAGGTTATAAAATTATTGCAGCACAGTCAATGAGCTTTTGAAAAAAAAAATAACGAAACTCTGCTATCCATACTTTTTGAGATGCTCAAGTTTCACAATTTTTCTAAATTTCTGCATCAACCCTCCGAAGGAATCCAAGTAACGATTCGATTGAGCAAACCTCATAGGATTTAGCGTAACTTTTTTCTCGTTTTTATATCTTGCCATAATTTCTTAAAAGAATTGTTATAAAAATCTTCGAATTTTGACACGCCTACGTCAGCCACATTCGCATCAAACACCAGTTAAACCTACGGAACTTAAAACTTCCAAGATGGTTTTATGATTTAACACTAATTTTGCAAAGCGAATGAGGGTTTACGAGATCGAAATATCTAATTTCGATGTACAGCCCGGAACGTCGAAAACATGAATTATGATGATTTTATCCGCAAAAACTCCACGAAGAGGAAACAAAAAGCGTCCCTTAGAAAAAGGAGAAAAGCTGCATCGAATGACACTCGAGCTGCTTACCCTTTGATGTTCTACGATGTTTGAGTTGACCAAGAATGGAAATTGGTAGTATCAATCAAACTTCTATTAAAAAATTTTGAGGAATTACGTGAAGGAGGAAAAAATGGTTTTGTATCCTATAGGATTTGCTCTATCGAATCGTTACTTGGATTCCTCCGGAGGATTGATGTACAAATTTAGAAAAATTGTGAAACTTGAGCATCTCAAAAAGTATGGATCGGAGACTTTCGTAATTTTCCAAAAGCTCATTGACTATGCTGCAATAATTTTATAGTCATTGGAAAAAGGATGAAATTCTGCAGCGAATACTACCAAGACCTCCTAGAATTCTTTGTTCCATCACATGTGGCGTCCGTTTGAAAAAAGCGAAATTACATTCGGAATGACCTACTAGATCATTCTTATGGTTATAGCTAAGAGTACACTATGTATTAAGTTGAAAATAATTTCTTGCACTCTCTACAAATATCAATTAACTGAGTTAGTTGAATTCAAAACTCTTTATAAAGCATTTCTCAGTTGACTGTTGAACACAAAACTCTCTTTAAAGTACTTCTATAAAAAATCATACTGTAAACAGTGCTTTTCATTTGAAGCCAGAAAATACTGTTCTACTTCTTACCATAGTCTTATCAAAGTTCGAGTACAGGGCCCGGCATGAGTCTATTTATAGGCTTTTTGAAAACGAAATTGTCCCTAACATTCGCAAAATTTTACGTAGTTCCTTCGACTTTTTCGGAAACGTCGATTAAAAAACCTAACCTAACTTGTGTTTCTTCAAACCTACGAAAACGATATCCCCTTTGCTTTTTCGTCCGAAAACAAATTCCAGCCTGCTTACAAACGATCTGTGCCGGGCCCGGTGACTGCATCGAGCAGTAACTCCATTGAGGGGCTAATCCACAAAATAAATTTAGGCTTGAAATGTCCAGTACTAAAGTCCGATCATTGTATATTATCTCTATTTATGCTAAGAAGTATTAAAAATTCTAGAAGCCCTCATGAGGAAAAATAGCCACAAATTCTTTGAAAAGCTAGGTCACTTCCAAGGTTCGGTTGCTCATTATTTTGAAGAATGTAGCATCCTATTACAATCGGACCATTTCTAGAAGTGTCTCAGCCATTTACTATAGTCATTTACTCTTTACTGAGACATTTTAGATCGCTGATGACTTAACCAAAAATTCTTTCGCATTTGTGTTGTTGATATCCGTCTTCAGTGGAAAACTTAGGTCAGGTTTTTAAAAAGTTGCCAAGGAATTCTTCGTGGTAAAGAGATTGTGTGCTGTTCTGAAGCAAATCATAGAATGCTTTAATACTCAAACAAATAAACTACATTAGCACTTTCAACTTTTTGAGAAAATGAAACGCATGCGACTTCCTAAGTTCGGTGCAATTCACAAACCTACCTTCCCCTCAGATATTTTTTCATACAATGTGCTTTCAATGAATCAAGACCAAAGGCTTTTTCAGCCCCGGATAAATTCATGTTCTATGCTTTTCCCATGCGTAATTATTGCATTTACTTTCGAGTTCTATCAGTACAAAACATATTTCTTGAAGCAATGCTCTTGCCTATCTTCTTATTTATTTTATGCATTAAGCGGTTTTACTCGTTTCCTTACTATACACCTCATTTGTTACTTTATTATACCGGAGTCTCTATCCTGCCCTAGCCAACGCAACATTGGAAAAAATTGTTCGACCAACATTTTCTTCTGAATGAAAGTTCATTTTTTAACAAACATACTATAGGTAATGCGCTGGTGGTCAAATGCATCATTATCCTCGCTATTTCTCGTAGTTGCCATCGCATTCGACCCATTGGAAAACGCAATTCTATCAGATCGATCAGCAAAGGTGAATTTTACATTTATATCTAACATGGCTAAATTCCCCGCGAACTAAGAAACAAATAAGGACAATGCTCTAATGTACGAAAACCCAAGTTTTTGACATGGTTAGACTGATCTGCGAAGCGGATAGTTTGATTTCGTAAGAAACTGCAAAAAATGTTTGCCAAACTTTTAAAATCAAAGCTCGACTTTTGCGGTTCTAAAAATGCTATTTCGAAACTGACTCACGTAATGCAGCCATGAATCTATTCAAGAATTTTGTCATATTAGGAAAGTACGGTGAATTTTTTTTTCAGCAGCTACCATTTCTATTGACTTCCGGACAGACTTCAGCAGATAATCAAAGGTTCTATCCTTTCCCGTTTGGACTATACAACAGCGGGGTTGCACATCCTCAAGAATATGACAATAGTCTATACTCTAACACTAGAAGAAATAGAAGGAATGGAAATATCAAGCGTAAGTTTCATCAAAATGCATTGTGGAAGCTTATTAGAATGCGAATGACAATACTCGTACGAAAATGGCAACATGTGCTGTCGACCTGCTCGCGAATTGCGCGTATACGGCCAAAGACGCACATGTCGCTGTTTACGTGCAAATGTTGTCAGCACCGCAAGAACACTCTAAGTCTTTGGTATTACTGACAAATTTCAGGGTTCACATGCCGTTTCAAATTCTGCCGACTCTTCGACGAATGAGCTGGCTACGAGAACACGACGGTCAAATGTCCTTTATTTCCAAGCTGTTCATAGAAGATGGTCTTGGCTGTAAATAAAACTAAGTTGATCTACGTACACTTGATGACTGTCACACTTGATTTACCACGAAAAACGATGACTATGAAAAAAGACAAACGAACAATATCGTAGATACAATGGAACAGTCAATGGAGCATTTGCAAAGCAAAAAAATGTGAGAATAATTGCAAATAATTCAAATAGATGTTTTACATAGAAGAGTGCCCCAAAAGTTACATATAAGAATCCCCACACCTATTCAAGAGTTTTTTTTCACAAAATATATGGAGCAGTCGCTGTTATAATCAGATTAACTTGAAAGAAACTGAGCTATTTTTCACTAAATATAAGTACCTGGCAGTGGCGTACCGAGGGGGGAAGAATTTCGCGACCCGAGAACGGGTCGCGAAATTTTTGAAAGTTACTTACATGGGTTATAAAAATGTGCAAATGACTTGTTTATTTTTGTAAACAATTAAAGTAATTTTTTGAATTTTTTAAAAATACATTTTTGCCTTATAAAAAAATTTTTTCGGGGGCGTGGCTGACGCCACGCCCCCTTTTACTGAAATTTCGGGGTCAGGGGCCCGGAAAAATTTTGGGAAACATCCCAAAAAATTTTTCGGAGTGCGTGGCTGACGCCACGCACCTTTATCGGAAAAAAATTTTTGTCGCCCCCCCCCCCCGAGCCGAAATCCTGGGTACGCCACTGGTACCTGGGTATTCTTTAGCAGCATAATAACGCTATGGAAATTATGAGGTTTCTCCCCTCTTAGCCCCAGAATTATTTTTCAATCAATATCGAGCACAAATGATATAGATATTCACATGATTTAGAAGCTTTGGCGAATGGTTATTTGAATTCTTACTACATATGCTGGTCTGTTGCGGCAGTGAGAGGGGCCTAACAAGGATGCGGTAATGCTGTACTGGATTGCGTTAGAATGTAGATACCGAATTGCAATAGAATGTAAAACGCACTCAAAAGATTCATTTCGGGTAATAAACTCAGATACCACAGGAACTTCTGAGGACGAAATTTTGCAGAGTTCCACAGAGTTTTGACTATCAAGAAGAGCAAGCGTCGAAAGTAGGAAATTCTGCAAAAAAATGAGTAGACGAACTGAAAGCGGGAACTTCTGCAGCACTTTCCATAAAGAGCTGTGGGAGATATGTTCTTCTGACGGTCCATCCAGCAGAATTTTCGGTCCATTGTCCGGGAATCTGTAGCCTGACTCACTTGAGGATTCAGAACTTGCGCAGTATGCGGTCAGTGACTGATTTCTTATCTCCGTAATTGTTTGCGTGAGATGGAATTATTGAAAATTTTGCCTAAGCTTATCAACAGAAGCGTTTTAGCACATCGCCGAGGGTCATAAAATCAAACATGCATGTGCTATTGGTTGTTCGGTTTTTGGACAAAAGAAGCTGCACAGCTTCCGTATCAAAATTCGGAAGACCAAATGATAGCGAAGAGTAGATAGTCCAGATGGTTTCTTGAGAGCCACTGCGGTATCCAAAAACATATTTATCTAATTAATTGCGTGATTATAGCAATCTTTTTCAAACATCTCCTCAGCCAGCCAGCTCTAATTCTAATCAAAATTAATCGCTTTCTTTCTTTCCTTGCTTACTCTTGACTGTTTGAGAAAAGTTCCTCATCTATGATAGCCACCCATGTTGAAATGAAAGAGAATAGAAGGACCATTCTATGAAACGACCTAGAACTGTAAAATACAGTGTTGGCAAAATCCAGACATTTCCTGAGAAATTCAGCAATCTTCTTCCATGACAATTTTACATAAGTCACTTTTCCACAAAAATGTATTTTCATATTCCATTGTTGCAATGTTTTTCATGCTCTATTTTTTGTTACATTTTTGCATTTTTCGACCTTTCGTTTCTCATGAAAAAAGGTATATTCATTTTGTAAGCAGTGGTCAAATAGAAGGCCAGCACTTTAGGTTACAAGCATTTTTCTGTCAGACGCAAGGAAACCTTCAGGTGAATTGTGGCAGTTGTTTGTCTCACTTTTGAGTAATTGCTTTGGGGTTTTTTGGGTTATCAGGTTCATTCGATAAAACTAACAAGAAAATACTCGGAAATCGAAGTGATTATTCCAAGCAAGCTGCATACCATTAATGCAGCATAAAACACTGAGGTCGAGTCTTTATTCCACATTTGCTCAACGCTTATCTTTGCGAACTTATGAGCCTTCAAAGGCCATCATTTTGCTGGAAAATCGTGGATGCAAAGCGCAAATTTGACATTACAAACCATGGTAGACTTATTGTTAGTGCTGAGCCAATGCAGCTAGTTACCAGCATAACCGTTTATTTTGATGCTTTCTATGGAGATAATAATTACACAATGCTTACACAAGCAATATTGTTTTTCCACCGCGCAGGAAATCACTTCGTAAGTCTTATCATTAGGATAACAAGTTATATAAATTCTATAATCAACATAATGTATCAAACTGATGTTATGACAGTAGTCTAAGACAACCTATACAAAAACGTGTTTCATTCGATGTGTCCGTAAAAGTTTAGTTCTCAGCCAATCTTCTACGTTAAGTCACAAGTTTTACGGATTTCAGCATATTCCATATGTACCATTTACTGCCAAACCTGCGATAAATTATCGAAGTATCCGGGCAATACACTAACCTCTTTTCACAGTTTCAGATCCTAGAATGTCCAGCGGAGAAAATTACACAGCAGAGATTATAGAACTTCGCAATGAGATCTATCAGATGCAGGCGGACTTTGCCGCAAATGACAATGCTTTCTTCCTTTGCTCAATGGCAGTGATCATTTTTTGTGAGTACTAAATTCTTATGTTACTCTTTAATTTTTTTCTCATATTAAATTTTCCAGTAATGCAGTGCGGATTCGCATTTCTTGAGGCGGGAGCAGTTCGCAGCAAGAACACTACAAATATTCTCATTAAGAATTTACTGGACTCATGTGAGTCAATTTTTCCGAATCTTTCAGCCAATTCTCAATCACTTCTGAAGGTATTGCCATCATTGGATATTGGTCTCTCGGCTGGGCGTTCGCATACGGTGACTCATCCAATAGCGTTGTGGGACTGCTGATTGGTCATACGCAGTTTTTTCTCGCTGGTTTAACCAATTACCCGAAGTATTTCGGCTCCTGAAGCTTAATCTTTCCTTAAAGAAATCTTTTTCTTAGGTTTTTCTTCCAATATGTGTTCGCAGCCACATCAGCAACGATTGTATCAGGAGCTGTAGCCGAACGCTGCGAATTTGCCACTTACATCACTTACTGTACTATAATCTCAAGTAAGCTTCCTCTTTTTTCAACGCTGTCAAGAACGACAGTAAACGGATAAGTCAATTCAGCATTCGTTTACCCTATACTAACACACTGGGGATGGCATGAACAAGGATGGATGTACTTGGGAATACAAACAACGAACATTCATACAACTTATCAGGTGAGGCTATATGTATTACAAAAGATACTGAGTTTTCAGCTAAAGACTATCTAACAAAGACTAACAGAGAACGCAAAAGTTTCAATGCCTCCTGTACGAGATTTACATAACCCAGCTTCGAGACTAAACGGTAGCGCAATTCCCTTGACGCCCGTCTTCAGTAATTCCCAAGGAAGCTTCAGAATTAGCAAAAAATAAAGGTTGAGGCCTGATTCTTTCAGCATTCGAAGAATGTTTCCTCCTATGTCGTTTAATCATGCAAAGGTCTGTAGGGAGGCCGCGTACAAAATCTACTACATCCTTCTTCTGCAGTAATCTGACAGCGCCCTACTTTGTTTCGTTAAAACTATGTTTATGTGATAATGAGACGGCATTGTTTTATGTTAGTATTTCCAAGTTTGTTGGATTGAAAAGGTTGTATTGATCAAAAGCAGGAAGCATTCACGTTGATAGGTAGATGACACAAAACTCTAGGTTAATTGTTAATACCGCTGTAGAGAAAATATCACTTTTTGACACGTAGCAAAAGATTGATGTTTTTGCTTGTGGAGTAAGGAATAATCGGTGCAAAGGGAAATGCAGCTTTTTTCTTTTGAAAATCGGTATAAACAACCGAAAAAACGCTCTTTACTCAAATCAAACATTGAATGCCCAGGATTTTGCTGGAGCTGGTGTTGTTCATCTTTGTGGCGGAACTATATCCTTTGCTGCTGCTTACATAATGGGACCTCGAATAGGCAGGTTTCCAGAAGATGGAGAGGAGGAGTCTATCGAAATCAAAGGACACAGCGTTCCGGTCAGTTCAGTCTCTGCATGAGATCAGTCAAAAACAATTTTTTGAGAACTTTTTCTATGCGTAATACCTCAACCTAAAATCAAAACCATAGACACAGAGGCCTACGACTTTGCAACTTATTGTTAGTGCTACTTCTCCCTTAGATTATACTCATTCCAGTTTGCTGCTCTTGGCGGCTTTATTCTCATGTTCGGCTTCCTCGCCTTCAATGGAGGTAATATCATTTGCAATATTGGATCCGAGCAACAAATCCCTATGTGTATTTGCTAAGGATCAATGGCTGACATTGTAAAGCCTGGTGAAGGAAACATTGTGGCGTTAGCTATGATCAACACTATTCTTTGTGGAGCTTTTGCCGCGCTCACCTTTCTTATCATTCACTTTCTCACAAAGGGAAAATGGACTCTTCTGCTCACTATCAATGCTTGTCTGGCAGGTGAGTGGGTGAAGAGAATGGAAAAGAGAATCCAACTATGACACGCACGAACAAAGGGTTTTTCAGTTCTGTGTTGATCCATGAAAAGGAAAAAACTGACCGAATGATTGAATAAATAAATGAGTAAATAAGTAAATAAATAAGTGGCCAATTCCGTGACGAATAGATGAACGAATGACCAAACTTCATGGTCTAAAATTTGTTGTTTCCTCCAAATCGTTTACACCAAAAATCGAAAATGTTCTGGTGTGGATGCAGAATTTTGACGTCTGCAACGATAAAACTCGAAATAATATTGTGGGAGCATACACTCTTTGAATCCAAGTCCTTACTTCTCTACATTTCAGGTATGGTCTCAGCTTGTGCGGGCTGCAATCGAATGGAGCCATGGGCATCATCGTTTACGGGGATAGGAGCCGGGCTTATTTATCTAGGTCTTAGCAGCTTCATGATAAGGTTGTTTGATTCAGAAGTTGTATCAAATCAACGAAGCCGCTTACAGAATCAAAGTAGACGACCCCTTGGACGCGTTTGCAGTTCATGCCGGTGGCGGGTTCTGGGGATTGCTTTCGACATGCATCATATCTCACGATGGGATTGTTTATGCTATTTCTAACGCTATCGCTAACAATCACGGAAAGCTCTCTTGCGAACAAGCCTTCGCTGTAAGTTTGAAGTCCGGTCCTTGAAGCGCAGCGATAAGATTTTATAATAACGTTATTTAAGTACAATTGAAATCCTTTTTTTATAGATGAACTTGAAGACTAGAAAAACTTCTGCAAAACACTAATTTTATTTTTAGAGTACTTCTTTTTTTGTGCCTCATAGAGTCAAATCTTGAAGGCCAAGTTATACTACGCCTCTTCTTCTCAGAACTTCTTCTTACTTCCCTCTTGGCAAATCTTTTACGTCTTGTTCGCATTCATATACAAAAGATATATCAAAATAAACCTGAGTAGAATATAAGGTAATGCGAACAACCTTTAGCAACTCGGATGGCAGCTGGTCTGTATAACAGCAATCATTACGTGGTCTCTTCTCTGGATGATCCCAATTTTCCTGTTCTTGAGGAAGGTCGGCACCTTCTTGAACTGTTTCATACATTTCAAAATCAATCGTGCAGATAGGAAAGCTCCGCGTTTCCGAAGAGGTTGAGATTAATGGATTGGATATCTATAAGCATGGTGAAGCTGCTTATCCTTTGCATGCTTATGGCCATGGATGGGACGAATACGAACCTATAAAGGAAAAGAAAACAGGCAATAAGGATCTTGGCGCACATGCAGAAAGTGAGTTCAACTATACTTTGAATGCACAATCCCCCGATTTGCCTTTCTTCTTCCCGCGTCTTCCCCCCCCCCCCTTCGTATCGGAAATTACTTATCAAAGAGCTTATTACTACAGTTTCCTTGGAGAAGTTAGCGGCTGCCTACGAGAGAAGAACCAGTGTAGCTCCCATGTCTTTTATCAAATCACCAACTGCAAACATCGATGGACCACGAAGAAAAAGTCTCTACACCAATCCCTCACACTATGAACATCCAGAGCACCATTCGCAAGCGAAGGAAAAGAAAAAAGTTCAAAAACGGGTACCTATTACCAAACGTATTCAGTTGGTGTCACTGATGTGTGGAAATTTTTTTGGAAGAAAAGAATTTTTAGGTAACGCATAATACGATAGTCGAAGTGGAGACGGCTCCCAGCATTCCTTCTACGGCACACTCATCAAGAGCTGACATTCTTTCAGAGATGTACGGGGATGGACCACAAGAATTGACTGTCTGATGCAGAATAATCTTGCTTGTATAAATCATTACTATTAGTTTCTAAATCCACACGTTCCGCTATTCATTTGAGTTTCTTGTTTTTGAAACCAAGTACCGTCTTAGTTCTGCTGGGTTTTGAACCGAATGTAGCTGTTTTCCTGTGTTGAAGTGGAAAAGACGCAAGTTATATACTGTAGGCGATGACAAATAAGTTCTAGGTAAATAATTGTTTGGGCTCTCCATGCCTGAAATGAACCGAGATAGGCGACGCGATTATATTCGAACGAATTTAAATTTAAAATCTAAAAAATAGCTATTCCTCATAAACTTTGCCAGGAACGGTTACTGATTCGCCATCTGTTTTGCAACTGATCCCATACCTGAGAAATGCGAAAGTAATAGGTTGATGCAAAAATAATGGCGATTTGCAAATTCTCAATTTGACGTATAACTTTTACCATCAGAAGCAGCAAAGCTTTTGCAATACTGTGCCCACTTCTTTGCACTCACATCACAAACGGACAGAAAATTGTGGATGAGAAAACAAAAAAGGTTTTTTTCTGAAACCTTGTTTTTGACAGTTCGTAACCTCCTTCAAAGTTTGTTAATAAGAAGGCTTATTGGCCTATCTTGTAGCCGCAAGCCGATAGGTCAAAACACAAGAAAACGGGTTTGGACAAAAAAGTTTGCAAAAAGGAAGAAAATTGAAGTTCAAAATTGCTGGTTTTTTCAAGGTTTTTCGGTACGCCTCAAAGTCCCGAGGATAGATTTTCTGATTTTTTGCGTACTGGATAGCTGGATGTTTTTGGAAAAGTTGCTGTATCGCGAAATCGCGATTTGTATTCGTACGCGATCGTACAAGTCACTCAGACAATTGACCGGACCCCTCCGCCGGACAGTCCGAATCTGCCAGAGTCGCGCCGGACCCAGTTGACCAATGAGAGAGGGGCAAATGGGCGGTCCGTCGCGGTGACATCACTGGCAGGCAAGTGGGAGGCTTCTCCGGCCCTGCTGCAAAGGTGCGCCATTTCTCCGGCGCGACTCTGCCAGATTTGGCGGACTCGCGCCGGAGAAATTTGCCCGGCGCGAGTCCGCCAGATTTGGAAGAGCCGCGCCGGAGAAAATCGGAGGGGTCCGGAGCAGAAATGGGAGGCCTCCGGAGCAGAAAATGGGAGGTATCCGGAGCAGAAAATGGGAGGTATCCGGAGCAGAAATGGGAAGTCTCCGGAGCAGAAATGGGAGGGCTCCGCCGGACAAATGGGAGACCCACCGCTAGGGAAACGCCGCGACCCTGCCATTTCTCCGGCGGAGGGGTCCTATCCGTTGCCTGAGCAGAAGACGTGAAAGGAATGCGCAGCTGCGCAACTTGCAGCTGCGCGAAGACACAGCTGCAAAAGTTAGCACGTGTGCTCTTGGAAGGGCTGGCTTTGTTAACTTCAATCAAGACAGCGACCGCGCTTCGCCTCGTCAGAAGAATCGTCGCTTCTCGTTAATGGCCAGTAACCCCTCTTATATACAAGACCGAATGTCTGTCTGTATGCATGTTCCGAATAGAAAATTTTATTTCTGAACGGATTCGGACCAAACTTGGTACACATACACATCGGGGCAGAGCGGGTGTCATAGGCTACTTTTCGTCATCGATCAATATCGATTTTATCGATTTTTATCGATTTTCTGTAAAGTTTAAGCTGGGCTGGGTTTGGCAAGGGGTAATCGAGGCTGATTACTCAGTGGCATAGATGCGATAGGTGGAAAAATTTCTCTGACCACCTTCACTTTAGAGCCGGCATCTCGCTGACCCCTTCCACCTGAGGTTGAGACCGGAATCAAGGTATAACGGCAAAATCAAACAGCTGTTACAACGGCACTTTTTGTCAGCATTTTGTTGAAAAAACGCATGCTTTAGATCTTTTGTGCACTAAAAGTGGCCTGGATAACGAAAAATAATCAAAAATTCAAAGAATGTTTAATTCTTTAAGTAATTAACATTGTGTCAATCAATGCACGCTGTCGCAAGAAAGAGTGGAGCAAGAGTAGAAAATCTGGACTAGCTAGTGATGGATACATGTTTACTGACAAAAATCGTACCACATCTCCTTTCAAAGAGAGAATAATAACAAGTAAGAGAGCAGTTAGATTACTCGTTTCTCAAGCTTTCGAATCATATATAAAAGTTCGAAAAAAACCTTCTTGGTTTGAATAGATAATTATCCAGAATTGACTGATGTGGTAGCTAGATAAAACTGTTCGTATCTCGCTTCACAAAAAAGCTATGAAAAAAGAGACAGTCTACGTCGATTCCTTGTGTTCTTAGCTATCGAATAATATACAAAGTTTTGGTGCACAAAGCTTTCCCACTCCAAAAAAGTTTTGCTCCTGCTACCCATAGAAAGCCGGAGCAGGGTGGTGCAAGTTAGTATTGAATACCTCCACCTCAATTTTGAAAAACCACGAGTTTTTTCACCCAACAACCTTTATACCATTAGAAAGTTCACGAAACAAGGATTCGACTCAGACCGTCTCTTTTTCTCTAACTTTCCTCTACTCAGAGATACATGGCATTTATCTAAAAACATGTGTGTTTTTGTCAAGAAATTCCTGCGTGAAGAATGAATGAAGGTGCCTGATTTTCTAATAGTAGCACAGAGCAAGACCTTGCCAGTAAACGTAGACCGTTTTTTTCTAGCTCTCCTCTTTCTCTCGGAAATGGAGCGTAAAGTGATTGCATAAAATCAGTTGTTGCTGAAGCTAGATATGATTTCTTATACATATGTGTATTCACAGAAGAGCTGGAAAAAAAGAGACGGTCTACTGCGATTCTATATGTCTCAAGCTTTCGAATGGTATGTCGACTGGTGGAACACAATGCTTTTCCGAGTCAAAAAAGTCTCTGTTAGATGACCTTCAAAGGCCTAAGCATTGAGAAAATCTTCATTTTACACCTCCATACTGCTTATTTTCCTTCTTTTCACTCCTGCTCCCGTTAAACATGTAAGCTTGGTCAGCACTTATCTCAGATTCAATTACCCCCTTCACTTTTCTAAGGGCCGCCACTAACATCCCTGCGGCGAGGGGAGCGGCGTCCCCAATGATGAAAAAGCCGCAGCGGCGTTCGCACGCGGTCCCTTCATAACAGGGGACGCCGCTCCCCTCGCCGCAAAAATGTTGGTCAGGGCTCGGCACGAGCTGGCACCAGGGAAATGTCAAAACGAAGTCCCGTTTGATATTGAAAATTTCGTACGAAGTCCCTTTTGACCTGTTTTGAAAACCCGTCATCATTTTTATATTATGTAAAAAAATGTAGTAGTGTTTTCATGCATTTCTGATTTCATGAAAGAACTTTTCACAGCTTTCTGAGCTTTCTAAGTGGTCGAATCACATCTTGAGAAGCAGAAAAAGCCGATTTTTCGACGGCGGAGTGGACCGAGTGGTTTTCAAATTGCTATAAAACGCTGAAAAGAGAACTTTATGAAACTGTTTCTTCTCCGTATGTAATATTTTACAATGTAGATACTTTTTATGTGAGAAAGTATGAAAACTTATGTGAGCAAAGTGTCGGTGCCAGCTCAGCTGGCACCCAGCTGGCACGGTGCCAGCTAATTCAGAAAAAAGTTCGGCACAGCTTTCATTCACATAAGGTTTCATAAATTTTTGGGCCGTAGTTCCGGTCCACCAACGCGCATGCACACACCAAATTTGGTGTCATACTATTGCGTTTTGGCTGAAAACAACGCCTTTGTTTGTTGATGGACAGCTTGCCAATGGCATGCCGGTGGCACGCCGGCGGCATTTTTGCGGCAGTTCTCCGCCTCGGCCCCTGTAGAAACGATATCCCCTTTGCTTTTCGCGCTAAAAACGATATCCAGCTCGACCCGGTGCCAGCTGTGCTGAGCCCTGATGTTAGTGCATACGGGCCTAAGTCAGAAATAGCCAAAACTCCCTTCACCTGGAGGGCACCCTGCTCCCCCTACCGCACCTATGCTCAGTGGTAGTGAATTGGCATGTAGACGTGGGCACAGGGAAAAGTTGTACGGGGATAGGGATAAAAGCTTTATCGTAGTGTTTTGACAGGGCCGAGGGAGCCGGGCAGCCAGCTAGTATCAAATATTCTGGCCTCTTATATTAGGTCGTCCCGAAAGTTCTTTCGCACCATTTTCAAAAATTCATATCTGATTTTTTCAACCGATTTGACTGCTCTTATTTTTGTATGAAAGAGTAAGTCATGCTCTTTATAAATACTTCTTAGCTGCTTACTAATGATCATCTGTTGCATAGATAGGAGCGGTAGAAAAATACTGGTCAAAATTCGAATTTTCTGTGTAGGGTCATAAGAAATCGGAAATTTGCAACAAAAATCGGAACGGTCGGTATTATAGGTTCTTTCACCAGCTCTTTCTGATAGTGCAAAGTTTGCACTGATTGAGTGTCTCTATGGAAAGTTACGATTTTCAAGCAAGCATTACAAAAGTGCGAATTTGCTTTATTTTGGCATTTTTCACGGAAATTAGAACTTTCCACAGAGACGCTCAATCAGCGTAAACTTTGCAAAGAGCTGGTGAAATAACCTATAATACTGACTGCTCCGATTTTTGTTGCAAGTTTCCGATTTTTTATGACCCTACACAGTAAACTCGAATTTTGACTAATTTTCTTCTACCGCTCCTATCGATGCAACAGATGATCATTAGTAAGCATCTAAGAAGATATTATAAAGAGCCTGACGTACTCTTTCATACAAAAATAAGAGCAGCCAAATCGGTTGGAAAAATCAGAAGTTATGAATTTTTGAAAATGGTGCGAAAGAACTTTCGGGACGACCTAATATTTTGCATTGGGTGATTTCAACGCAATAAATCGTAAAGAAAACGTGGTGAACAATTAATTGGAAGTGGTCGGAGCGAACACATGCTGAAAGGATGCCCTAGCCTTACGCTTACAAAATTGAGCAAAGCTTTGGCGATTGACGTTTTCAAAAAATATTTGTGGGTCAAGAAATGGCCGCTACTACCCATGTTGAGACGCCGATATCTCAGCCTGGATAATTTCAAAAATGCAACTAAGTATACATAATAAGGATAAATTCCATTGCATACAATAGCTAGATTTTTGATGGAGCGCTATTCATACGCGCTTGAATTCTGGCCAGAAAAATGCTAAGAAAATCTGAATTTGCGGTTATTTGGAGCTCAGTAACTTTATGACAGATGAGAGTAGAAGTCTGCTCCGACCAGCGTTACATAGAGCACGCAGACAGCTTTCAAATGGTTTGCTTTATCTATTTCAAAGAAAAAACTTTGATGGAAAAAGTTGCCCTGAAAAAAGGGTTGGAAAAGGCCAGTATTTTTGCATAAAACCGACTGGTCGCCCCTGCAGTACCTCTCCAACGATGAGAAGTCCCGTTAGCCATAGGCTATTACAGTAAAGCACTATCCCAGTCCCAGCAAAAGTAGAGTCCCACTCACATAGAGCTTTTTCCAATGGTTAGTGCTCTTCGCTTCTTCAAGGCTACCATTTACGGTCATCTAAACCCGCATTTTCTCTGACCGCCGCTCGCTAACATACCTTCTCAAACATAATAAAACCATGATAATTTGGCGCAATGGGTCATTGAGTTACAAAGTTATAATGTAACCATAGAATATTTGAAAGGGTCATCAAATGTAGTGGCCGATTGCCTTTCACGATCCGTCAACCCTCAGACTTAATTTCAAGAACATTCCAGAATCTGATGATATCGTGGAGTTCCCCATGTGTCTAGCGGTACAGGGATATTGCTTACGTTCTCTCCAACGAAATAGGCCTTATGACGCCTTACTAGAACAAGAACGAGACAGTTTGTAGTCCTGTCATGTCGTTCCTGGAAACAGGACAATTTCCTGAAAATATTTCGGAAACAGATAAGACAGAATCAGAAGATTCAAACTATGCCAAGATTTATGGATAGTCGAACATGGATTCAGATAAGATATGCTAGCATTTTATGGAAGACGAGCTCAAGTTACCCACTTGCTTAGGTTAGCTGGAGATTGTCATTTACCCACAAATGGTTGACTGTAGCGGTAAGTCAAATCGAAGGCTTGTAGCACAACAAGATGCACAAAGTACCATCACATAATGACCCTTTCCGAAACATCGTAGCCTTTGACGGGCTGATCATTATCTGAGATACAGCTTTTGAGCTGCACTTGGCACTTATACAAGCGTTCCTTCCCATGTCATGCTAGCATTTTATGGAAGACGAGCTCAAGTTTACTCTTCCTTATTCTCTTCCAATTCCATCACGTTTAGTGGCTGAGATTTCTGTCGTCAAATGACTGACGATATCCGAGCGACTCCACAATCTATAAGGTATTGAACAAGTTGTTCGTATTGTGTTTCAAATGCTCAGCATGTTAGAAGATGATAACCGAGATAATATGGGTGTGGTTGATCGACGTGGCGGCGGCACTTCACATATCTCACAAACACAACCCCTTTTTTTCTCCTCGCGTTTTTTTTCATCTTCGCATGTGTCCCGCTTATTCACATTCCGCTTCGCTTATCAGATCTTCACGTTTTCTATCTGAGGCAACGTCTTCGTCTGTACCAAATTCTCGCAGGACGGCCTGGGTTCTGTCCATCCACCTCATCTTGGAGCTACCCCTTTGCTTGGTGCCTCCACCACAATGCTAATCTTTTTATGTGACTTTCATCCCTTCTTCGCACAATGCCCATTCCATCATAGCCTCTTTTCCTGCATTTTTGGGCAAATGGAGCTACTTTCATTTGCGCTCGTATAATGTCATTGCAGATGTGATCCTTCAGTGTGACTCCTAAAATTTATCATAGCATCCTTCATCGTAACATCAAAATTTGTATAACTCTCGGTTTGCTAGTTGGCACCGTCTTACAATTATAAGACTTCTAGTGCAGATTCCTTCTCTTAAACAGATTTCGAAGCGGTATAGAAGAGAGCAAAAAATGTTGCTCTATTATTTTCAATGAGCATTGAACTTACAATTCACAAGTGTCTCAAGGTTAGTAATTTCGCCTTTATGGAAATACATGGGCGATTCATGTCACGCAAAGACTGAGAGCCGTTGCGTCCATCCAAGATAAATCAGGGAGACGCCGATACATCCGCAGTCTTTGTGGGTATAGTTGACTGCACAGAATCGACCGTCTAAGGGATCGGCCATACTATTCCTGCTATTCCTACGACTCCTGCGATTCCTGGGAGTCCCGCACAGTTTAGACGCCGCTTAAATGAGCGCGTGTTGCGTAAAACAACACGTAATACGCAACACGCGCTCATTCAAGCGGCGTCTAAACTGTGCGGGACTCACAGGAATCGTAGGAGTCGTAGGAATAGCAGGAGTAGTATGGCCGATCCCTAAACGCCCGCGAGCGTGTGTCTTGCGGGTTAACATTGGCATTCGCGCGCATGAGTCATCATAGCGCCAGTATCGGCAGCCGTGTTGCAGGCACGCTCGCGTGCGTACAGCCTACAGCGATCCGGGCGATTTTGTGCAGTCGACTTTACGAATCCACTGTCAATCATTCAAACCAGTTGTTATCTTTTGTGTTATTTTCTTGCTATACCAGCATGTAAACAGTAATATTTTTCAAGAGATTTTTGAAGGTTCAGTTACCCAGATTTGACATATCTCGTACCGACTATCTAACAAGTACATGCTGATTATAGGCTCTAACTAATATAACATCCGATCCCCTTGATTCCCACTTTCAGTGAAATGTCCTCCTGCAGGAATGTCCAAATTCGACCGCAGTTAACATCTCTCTTAGGACAGTTTGCGCAGAAAATAACACGTCCTGAAGCAAAAAGCCTAGGATCTCACGAAAAGATGAGATAAAAGGTGTCCGGTGAGTAGAAAGATCTCAATCTAAAATCGTTGTATTCTTTGCATTGAATTCCCTCTAGGTTTTCTTTGACGCTTACATTTACAGCATTCTTCTCTGCTACCCCAATGAGAGGGGAAAAAGCCGAACAATTAGCAGAAGACGTGACGAAATTTCAATAAACTACTCACTATTCGCTCTATGGTCAGTCCTCTTGGTTTTTTTAAACTTTACATCCCCTCCCACCAAAAAAGTATTCGCTTTGGGTTGCTGAGGATTTGGAATTTAAGAACTGATCTTTGCTCAGTGAGCTATGTGTCACCCTCAAAATAATTCTTTTTTATTGCATGTGTAAAGGCAAAGAATTCTACGTAGTTTTGGGCTATTATTATGGAGGTTCTGTGGTGACGAAACTTCTTTTTTTCCAGCATCATTTATGGATGTTGTTGAAAGTCGCTTTGGGGATTGTTGAAGAAGGACTGACCCCTGGTTGAATAAGCAGCACTACTTTTGTCAACTACATGAAAATTGAGACTTTCTCGACTTTCTGAAGTTAAGAGACTGTTTTTTGCTTAAGAATTTAAAGAGGTTTTGTGCTAAATTTATATTTAACCGCCATTGTCTTGTATGCGTAGCTTCTAGGGACCACTCTAGTAATATGTAGTTTAGAGAATTTTTCCTCTGCGCTGATAGGCTGACAGGAATAGGAGCAGATAACGTTCAAAAACATTTCGTGACACTCAGCCAGAGGAGAAAGCTTCCCCCGCGCCAAGTACTGTAACGTCCGCGTTCTGCAGTCTCTTTCACGCACTCCTGCACAATTTCACAGCTGTTTCACCCGTCTGCCTTCGATTCGAAGTTGTTTTGTTTTTCAGTTTGTCTTTCTCGGTGAGCGAGAAATTGTCACAAGTTTTCAAAGTACAGTTGTTGCCTTTCAGTAAGTACCCTTCTTTCACGATGGCTATGCTCGATATTGAATCGATATCTGCCCAAATGGATAACAATTTCAACGCAAAAATATTGAATTATAAGATTGTGGATGATGGAAAGTTTGCGGTGAGTTCATTTAATTAGGATTTTCATATTATATGGTAATGTGCTTTTTTCAGCTTTACACCATTCAAATAACAGTTGATAGCTATACTTGGACGGTAGAACGCCGTTATAGCGAATTTGATGTGATGGATATGCGTCGATTTCCAGATCGAAAAAAGTCATTTCTTCCTCCTAAGCGATTGATACGTAATCTAGTAAGTATTTTCAAGTTTTTTTTTTGGCATGGCCTGGATGACTTTAATCTCTCATGGCACAGTTTGTGGTGCATTGTTATTTACCTATGACGTATCTTACATGCTTTATCTTTGGTAATTTCTGTGTGCTCCTTGAAGCTGCAGTCCTTCTGCTCTTCCTTGGACGTCTTCGAGTTATCCTACTTGGCTATTGAATCATTTTTGAAGGGACAGAAAGGAACTGAAGTGCAGGGGAGTTGCACCAGTTTCGCCTGAATGAAGCAGACCAAATGAAGCGTAAGGATAGTGAATAATCGAGTAGAGGAATCGCTGCATTGAAAGTTTTCAAGTTCCTAGCACGAACTTCCCATTCTTGTTGAGAAAAGTTGATGGTATTGCAGTTCACGAGCCTCGTTGATTGATTAAGATTGTGTGCATGAAACTTTCTATGGTGGCAGGTCTTTTCTACTGCAAAACATATTCTTGCTACGAAATATGGGTCATTTTCAAAATCGTGGCGACGGGTTTGACTGCGGTCTTTGCACAGGAGCCCAAAACACTCATACAAAAAGCCATTACCTCAGGGCTCAGCTCAATCAATTTCATTGCCTATTTACTATCATATGTAAGCAAAAAACCATTTGAGTAGAGATGAAAATCAAGAAAATGTGATCACCGGAATTGCGTTTTTCGCGCATGGTCTCGTCACGATTTTCGGGCCCTATAGATTTATGGTTCACACGTATTTCAACAGTTTGCTTTTGATCGAAAGGTAATCTGCAAATTGAACTTTTCTCTCGCAGCGCACCTCGAAGTAAGGAGATTTGGTAGAAAGTCATCCAATCTGTGTATTCGACGACTTTATCTAAGACATTTTCGAGTAATTCTTTTCATCATGCATAAGATGAGTGGCATCCATCTCTTGTCATGGTTTTTCGACGGGTATTTGGGGCTTTTCAGAATTAATTTTTCCCAGTTTTTTGTCTAGGATCGTCTCCACGATTCGTGTAGAGGTGTATTGCAGACTTTGCCTGATAACACAGGTAAACTTGTTGAATCCCCACGTCATAGCATGGTTTTTTGTGCTCTCTCGCCATCAAAAACCGCCACGCTTTGAGTTGGCAAAACCCCGCCTCTACACGAATCGTGGAGCCGATGATATATACTCTTGTATATGCCCTCTGACAGCTGCTCACGTATAGGTTTGAAAAATTCGTTGGAAAGATCCATTTGAGAGAAGCAAAACACAAGGGAATGGTAAGCATATGCTACCGCAACTGACCAACTGAGGGCCGTGCGTTGCCTCAGACAGATGCCAGGTTTATCCGGTTTCGGTTGTCGGTTGTCCGGTTCATCCATACGCTATTGGTAAATTCATTAAACTGATCAATAGCGATTGAGGTGAGCCGAATGAACTGGTTGAACAGGATAAGTCTAGCACCTGCCTCACGCAGATCAAAATACCGTTGACAGTTGAGACGGGCTGTACTTTTGAATGAACTTTCGCGATTTACGTGTCGTACGTACTTTTACGATTTCAATTCTGCTCAATTACCTTTCTGCGTAACAACAAACGTTTTCTTCTGGCTATATGTCTCACTTTTCGAAACTAATGCCTCTACTTGTTGATAATTCACAAATCTGAAAGTGATGTTACAAAACAATAGGGATGATAAACATTTTCTCATCAAAAAACAGGTATTTATTGAGTTTTCTGTGTCGTTTACATATTCAGCGAAACGAAAGCAAGTCATTGTAATGGTGTTATGTTTAGGAGCCCGAGTTTCTGGAAGAGCGACGTACAGAGCTAGAGAAGTACTGTCGTGCATTATTGGAGCTTGAAGTTTGGTATCAAAAGCAAAAGAAAGTGAATTCGCTTCCGCTCCTTACAGCAAAGTTCTTCGACTTCCATCAATACGTGAGTCTTCTCAAAGTGTTTTTATTATTATTTTTTGTTTTTTGTATCCTTTTGTAAGATATCATCGTCTTCATTCCTTCAATTCATCATTTTTGCAAGTTCACTTTATGGGCTCTATATTATTTTTTTTGGAAATTCTGTGCAATAACCCGCATGATATCTGACGCTGTCGAATACGAGAAGGCTGCCTCCGCAAATTTTTCGCCTCCCTGTGTCTTCTGACAATTTGATCCGATTTCGTCACACATTTCCTCTATCTCCGGCAAAAATTCACTTATTGTTACTTCTTGATATCTCGAGGTTGATATTCGTCCTGTCGAAATAGTATATCCTCATAATGTGCATAGCAATAATCAGCTGTTATTCTGGCATGTTTCATCTATTAGAGCTGCATTGTTCCCTTATCTTTCTTATCCATCCAATCAAATCAGCTGCAGTTTCTTCTGCATACCATAATATGGTGAACAGCCAGTGTTTTCTACGAACACTATTTGGTTTTGATCTTTGAGAAGTATCTGAAACCCAGTCTGGCTTGCTGGGCTTTCCATTGAGAACAACTTGCTAATAATACATTTTCTCGTCATTACATTTCTCACTCCGCCTTTTCCTTCATGTTAATGGCCCTTTTCATGAATATTTCTGTCGTTTACAGTCTACCTTACAATTACTTTCTTTTCTTGAAAGCGCAGTCATAATTTTGTTTGTCTTATTCCATGCTTTTCATGCACTTCTACTCCACATCACCTCATTTTGAAATACGTAGGACAAAAGTGACTCAAGCATAGTCTTCTCACATTTCTTTATTTCAAACATTAGTCGAGCTCCATATTCATATTTTGCGGAAAGTAATTCTAGCGCTGGGGAGATCTAGTTCAGTACTGAATTAGCATTGTTACCGCGAATGGTAAGAATGAAACCTCAACAATCAACTATCATCAGTCTCTCTGGCATTATGTTACTGATCACTCATTGTATTTGAGTTTCTCAGAAATGCTCAAGGAAATGCAATTTGCTGTTGTTGGTTTTTGAGCTCAGTCAGTAATGATCATATTATTCGGTCTGATGCAATGCAAGTTCATTGCTCAGTTCTTTTTGCCAATCTGCCAAGGCAAGATATGACCGCGGAATCTTCAACACGGCTCACTAAACATTGGCTCCAAGTCATATCTAAAAATTGGACCCACTAATTTTCTCTTCACCACAAGCATTTGCCACATACCTGCACCTACAGAGAGCATCAGAACCTTTCTTATTTGCTGCTCTGAGCTGTGATTGGACATCACCTCAACCATCTTATTTTTTATGTTGCAAAAACGAATCAGTCTTTTTGCTCTTCTTCATTATCGTTGCTTCGGTTATCTTCGTCAAATATTGCTCTTTCCAATCGCTTGTTGCTCAACCCTTTTGGCAACTGCGCCTGTAGATATTGGTCCCGCAGACGTTCTGATCTGCATTCATATCCTTCACTTCTGTGCCATTGTTTTCACGTAAGTGCCCTGGTGCGGTATTATCAATCTCCAACTCGGTGCCGGGCCATTGTTAACGAGAGCCCGGACATCCAATGGTCCGATCTGGCAAGTTTGGCCATGTCGGGCACGGCAGTGGGCAGCAGAGCCCGATCTCGACTGGTTCGGGCTCCGCTGCCCGACATGCTGCCAGATCGCACCATATTCTTCAACAAACAGGAGCCCGATCACCAGCTTGGCTTCATATATCGCGGGTGCCAGGACCCCGCGCCTGTACGGGCTGGTACCTGTACAGGAACCCCTTCCTACACGGGAGGTTGATAAATACCGCCCCTGATTTGCATTTGTAGCAAATTGAGCCCTGCAACCTTCCATCAATTGAGTCTTGCAGAATCTGACGAGTTTTTGATACAAAGAAACTTTCTTCATAATTGTTCTGGCTTCATCTGCACTATACTGTATATCAGCTTTTTCCCCATACACATACTTATAATGCTTCCTCAAGTTATTTTACGCCAATACACAAAGCATGCGTCATTGCGGGCTACAATTCACGACAATCTTTCTAAGTGACAAAATCTTGAGTAAACCATTGAATCTATTGAGTCTGGCAAGTTTGTGTGCACAAAGGATCTAAGCAATTTGCGCTCAATTTGCCTACGTTAGTGATGAAAGACGTTTTTTTGTTGTTACCATTCTTCTTTTACACCACTCGACTCATGAAGCAGGCTTTCAAACGTCATCATTTTTGTCTTAAATTCTTTGACACAAAGACATGAGTGACTTAGTATTATAAACATCCAGCAAAAGTGCAAATAAGAAAGTTGTAGTTGAACAACACAACTTTTCTTTTTTGGATCAACAGAATTTATACCTTCTGATATATTTGGGTCTATCGATGAACAACAATTTTCTTTAAAGAAAAAACTACAGAAGCAAAGAGCGTAGAGAACTTCATGCCGCCGAGTGAGGGTCCCGCGCGGACGGCTTGCAATCACGCATCTCCATGCATGTGGAAAGGTGCGTATTTGTTGCAGATGACCGCATATGCCGCCCATTTCGGTGACATATAGTCCTCTAGCCAAGCAAAAAAGAGGGTACAGATGTACAGAAATCGAAAAGAGTAAGAAATCGCGGTGAAGATTTATCTGATCGATGGCAATTTGGCAGCTTAATCGTTTATCTTGGGAAAACATTGTCTTTTTTTTAAAGAGAAATAGACTTTCATCAGTGTTCCTCATCAGTATTGTGCTGTGCAGTCAGTTCGCCTCGTGATCCTGTCGCCCTTCGCTTCATTCTCCAGTACTGTAGTCTTGTCCAAAGCTCTCGCAAAGCCAAATAGATGACAGCAACATTTTTCACAGCGAAAAGACTGAAATCGTAGTGCCGTCCAGTTTGCTGCACTTCGAGAAGTACGTAGAGATAGATGCGCAACCCAAGGAATGGGGCGTTGACCTGAAATTTGTGTTTTGGACCCTTAATCTCATCAAGAAATGAACAACTCACCAGTAGCACGTAGATCAAACTCCAGACTTTGTCACTGATGTAGAGGAATTTTGGATATCGTCCAAAACGTAATTTGAGAAGGGCGAAAGTTGGCATAACGAAATTTATGGAAGCCAGGGACAGTATAGTCACATCAAGCCAAAGCGGCAAATTCCAGCCATCTTTCTAAAAGAATTTGTTGGGGTTACGGTAGGCATACTGTAGGGTGGAGACTGCATTGTCTTAAACCTTCTTCAGAGCATTTAGCATACTGTTTATAGTCTTAGTCAGCGTATGTAATCCACTTTACTAACAAAATCAACTTACGAATGACTGCCAAAGAAGATCGAGAAAGTAGATGTTGTCGACGAGGTCCAAACATATTGCTGTCGCGAGATAAGTAATGTAGAGCTGACGAGTACTCATTAGAGGAGTGTAATGATGTGCTTCTAGTAGAAATAGAAAAATCAGCACGGAAAGCGATAGCCCCAGTTTGAACATATGGTCGTCGAATAGTTTGTCATTATTGTCTAGAGGTCCAGGCGGTAGCTGAAAGGCTCAGATAAATCAAGAAACGATAATCAGCTTTTCTGACTCTTTTTCTATATGATTTGATCATATAAAACTATTTATGACAAAATTTGACTCGTTTCCCCATAGTGAGTTTTGGAGTTTTGGAAGGAAGGAAGTGAAAGAGCAGATTTTGTGAAAACTTTACATCCATGCTTTCCCACTGTTCCATTCTTTCTTCTCAGAAATTTCCGGAACTGAAGACAATAAGTTGGTTTTGTCTTCCAATCTTTTTGCCTTACAATAACGCTTTCTTTAATAATTACATCAAGGCACCAGCCAGACTTTTCTCAAAGCGCTCAAGATTTCCAAATTTCTCTTCCATTTCTCACCACTCCTCATATACGTTTCGCGCTAGCAGCTGGCGCTTTTAGGTTAGCGCAGAACGGGTGCGAGGAGACATGAAAGAAATATGAAGAGAGATTGAAGAAATTTGAGCGCTTTTAGGCGCTTTCAAGAGAAGTCTGGCCGATGCTTAAAAACATTTATTTATTTATCTACTATACAAGAGTACACCAAAACTGAAAATGAAAAGAAAGAACACAACGAAAAAAAATGGGATCGGATCACTCTGTCCTTATGTTTTGAAAAAAGTAATGCTGCAGATTTATCAGCTTGACGTCCTTCTTTCTTCTTTCTTAACAGAATGCCCAAAAAGTTCATTTTTTCCTGTGGCACTCTATTCGCCGTACCTTTTTTTAAGTACTGAACTCCCAAATTAGAAACGCTGATGCTCTCTAAAAATTTAAATTAGCACGGCTTAAAAGTGCAGATTAACTTCACACATCTCTATGGGAAAATGAGGTTTCACTGTTTTTTTTTTACTCTGCAGTCCCTGCAAGTTGTTCTAGCGATATGCAGATTCCCTCGAGAGCACACGACGCAGTTATTTTTCGAAAAATAATAGTGTCTCATGAGTGAGTGTCGGCTTGCGCAAACAATCATCGTGATGGAATGTTACATACTTTTTCTAACGTGGAAGAAGAGAACAGTCAATCGATGGTTTTTTCCCGAGTTCTCGTTAGAATTTGAATGGGATTGAGCGCATCTACACTGGGGAGTGGCTAGTTAGTGCGCATTTGCTAGCAATTTGTGAGATCGCTAGAGCGCTGCGCCTTTTGCAGAGCAGCTGGATTTGGTTTTTTTTTCTCAAAAAATTTGGGATTGGATTCATTCTCTGAAAGTGACTCTGGACAGTCAGCTATTTTTGAACAAACAAAAATCTTATGTTTTGAGCAAACAGCAAACATTTGCGCAATGTTTCGAGATGATCTGTGAGGTACTGATTATTGATCGATTTTCTGGATTATTAGTGCTTAAAGCGTATAGTATACTTACCTCGTTGTAAAATAAGCGGAAACAAGTTGCAACTTTCCCCACCAACACCAGCGAGTAAATAAGCCATCCAATCCAAGCAAATTTCACTTTTCCGTCTGTAAAAAAAGCAGAATTTGGATTTGTTCTTTTTTCTTCGAGTGGAAAGGTGTGGCTTTACTTACCAACTGAACAAACTTCTTCCATTTGTGTTTGATTATATTTAACTGCCAAGACAAGAAGCCACAACAGAACCACTATCACAAGAGCATCAGCCCCTATCCATGAATACCATACTTTATCGGAGAGTACAGTGAGGTAGTAGTAATCTAATAGTCCCATTTGTAGAATAACAAGAAATAGGCAGATGAGAAAAGACGAAACATCCAGAAATCCCCGGATACATCGTCCTAAAAATGCATGAGATAAGATATACACTTTTGCTCGAGAGAGTCGCGAAGCAATCTATCTCTGGCGAAACTCAAGAAAAACCATCTTAAATTATCTTCACGGTGCTTCGTATGTAATGGAATGAAAAACTCCGCTAGTGCTCCAATTTATCTTTCGAAGCGCTAGCGCTAGAGCAAAAAAGCTGAAGGGTAATCGATTTTGCCTAATTATAATTGCGCAAATTTTTGAAGAAGATATAGCGAATGTTCTGATCATTTGCTCACCTGGAACGACAGCCATTGTGTGATATCGGGTGGGTGGTGCTAGGACCAGAGCGGTATGGTCACCTGGAGCACAGTTAGCGTGGTCCGTTTTTGTCGCGTCCTCTTCACGACCGTCGTAAAATGAAGCGTGTGGGTCGAACTCGTTAGCGTTTTCCTCGATCACGTCCTCGATCAGATGTTTCGGATCTCGTCCTTTAGTCGTGTTCTCATAGACCGCCTCTGAAAGAAAAAGAGCTTTGGGAATTGTACTGATTGGCACATAAGTTTTGCAAGTAATTTCATAATTTTTCTTTACCTGAATGTGGCGCGCTAATTTTCTGGTATAATGTAGATTAGATAGTGAGATATAAATGTGCGCAAACTGTTTGATTTTTGATGAAGAAGTGAAAAAATTTGCACATTTCACGAATGCTGGTCAAATGAGAAAGCTCAATCGGTAAAAAAAAATAAAAATGAAGCCGTTCGTAGCCTGAATCAAACGCATCAAGCAAAAACTGCACTAACAATAAGTAGTTAGCTGCTAGATGAAACCCTACCGATCTAAATACAGTTTCGGCTTGATGCTTCTGATTCAGGCTGTGAGCGGCTTCATTCTGTTGTTAGCCTCGTGAAATTTTTAGTTTGACCGGATTAAAAAATTTGAAGCATAAGTTTTCTCCATTTTGCTACCAAAAATCAAGCAGTTTACGCAAGTTGTAGCTCACTGCCTAGTCTAAATTATTTGGAAAAGTGAGAGCACCAAGTCTAGGAAAGAAAAGTCATGAAATTAACTGCAAAACTTGAGTGCTTGACTAATAATATGCTTATAAAAGAATGAATTATGGCATTCAAGTGAGCTATTGATCATTTCTATGAAGAGGACTTGTACTAAGTATTGGCAAAAATTTGCGTTTTGTGCAAAAGTTTCTTGTGAGTCGTTAAGTAGAACCTCGGCGTAATCGGATTATGGCTGAAACAACGGAAACGACGACGGTTTCGCAACGCTCTTCCCATCCCTTCCAGATTATCTTGCGCAAGAACTCTTACGCATTGAAAAAGACACACTAGATGATTACTGGTTGCTGTTGGTAGTACGATTGTTCGCAACTTCCCTTACAGAAGTGCATTAGAATCAATTGTGAATTTATGTGAGAAGAAAGGAGAGAGAGTAAAGAGCCCGACAAGAGCGCGCATAATTCTGAACGGGGGCGCAATTGAAAGGCGGACGTTGAGAGGTTTGAAGTCTCGTTCAGTGTCGCGCAATTATTTGAGAGAGTTCGGCATGTAAACAAGCTGACCTAGTGAAGAAAATCGTCAATGGAGTGAGTGAAGAGTGCGGGTGCTCTTTGGGGGGAGGGGGGGGGGAGAGGCAAATAATTTTGTTTGTTTGGCTTTGCGATTGCTTACTTAGACTGTTGAGGATTAGGTAACATCATGGTCTAGTTGGCATAAAAATTGAAAGTGGGGTAATTCGACAGTGTGTTTGTGCAAATATTAGCAAGATGAAGAACCTCAGCATTTGGTTTGTCAACAACCTCACAATCATTTAGATTTTTTCCCGAAACAAAATGCAACTCTGGTATTTAAAATGACTGTGCATCAGAATGGCTCGAACCGTTGATACTAGCTCTTGCCACTTAAAACAGCAATAATTTCCCATTCTACGATGAACTGGACAAAATAAGAAACAAGCGATTATTGGGACTGGAGGATGAAACTAGGCTCAATGGACACTTTTCCCTTTGAGCCTGACAATTCCCTGTTCCATTACAATCCCATTACTCGTTTATTTCTTCCCGTATCCAGTCCGCCAAAGTAAAGAAAAACAATTGTTGTTTTTGAGCAACAGCTAGGTATTAATGTAATATGAGCCATTCTGAGCCACAATCTACCTCCATCTTATTTGACCAAAGCTCCATCAACACAATATTGGACTCGTTTTGGGATAAACATGCAAATGTACTTGCGTATTAGCTCGCTTTTGTGAACCAGAAGGGAAGAGAGAACTTTCTAGTACAAATTTAGTTCATTAACTCATCAAAGTCTTACTAACTCTATTGTCGTACAATACACCCCCCCCCCCCCCAAATGACATATGGTTTCGCAGCGCATTAACATAGTTTACGGGGGGAATTATGATCAGTTGAACTGGTGTACTGGCTTCAAATTGTAGTAAAGTTTGAGGTTTTGTTGTCCTATACATGACTTTGATAAATAGCGGATACTGATGGACTAAATGCCGCCTTGGGAGTTATATCCCAACTCTCTCTCAACATAAACAGTGTGCTACTTCAAACCATTGCTATCACGATTATTTATAGTTACAAAGAACTTGGAAATACTCCAAGTACTACAGTCGAATGTATATTGCTCTAGCATCACGATCTGATCTAATATTCATGAATGCACTGCTTAAATGCGCTATATGGAAAGAAACAAGCTTTTTGCAATAAGAAATGAAGTTTGATTTGATTCGAACTGAAGTTTGTTCAGTTTTTCAAAGCAAAAATCAATTCATCCTGTAGCTTCACTAACGTTAAATTGAACTAACAAGGTCGGAGAGGGTTTTTCATGCTTTCGGGGTCTATTTTTTGCGCATGAGATTGTATCAATGTTTGTACATCGAGCAATGAACAAAATTATCGTAACGATTTGCTTGTAATACGTTGAGAAAGAGGAGAGAGAGTAATGTAAATATGTACAAAGGATGATTTTACCTCCTTGCTCCATAAGCGGGAAGACAGGAGGAACGTCCTGTGTTCAGACTGCTCGAAATTAAATCGGCAGTTTTGCAGCAGCTATGGGTGGTGAGGGGAAGATGCCAATAATCAGACACGCGTTCTAAATAGGACGAACGCTATATGATGGCTAGTAGGGGGATAAGGCTAATTTGGCAACGAGCCAGAACGTCAGAGAGCCGGCCTAAGAGCGCGCGGGTTGCGGTACGCGCGAGGAGCAGCAGACGGGGGGTCAGCGCCGTGGCCCCGCCCCGGAGGCGGCAGACGAGCAGGCAAATTCGCGCCCGAGTAATCATGTTCAGCCTCACGGACTCGGTTGTTGTTCCGAGAGCCGCTTGCAACGTACGGGCTTAAATCGACGACTTTGGCCGAGAGACTATTATCCCCTCCCGGCACAACCCGGCTGTGTTTTCAGCTGGCTGGGTGAACGCATGCTTTTCCGCGCTGGACACAGTGGTTCCATGACGAGCGCGCAGGTAAACATAGCCCATCTGCCATCACGCATCATATACTATGCAATTTGTGACTATACATTATACCGCGAGGCAATCTACAATCGGCATTCGTCCTAACCTAAACATGGCTGGTTAGGGCAGAGTAATAAACAAAGGAAATGGCATTGGTGGTGCTGCTGCCATCAGTGAATCCGGTTTCATTGGAATTTTTTGCTTAACATTCCTATTGAATTTGCGCATAAAATCGAATTATTACTATATAATAGCTAAGCGGGCAGGGTACAGTGCTGGCATAAATTACGCTACAATAGCTGAAGCGCCAGGAAGAGTGAAAGGCAATGAATGGGAGGCGGGGGGGGGGGGAGGGAGATAGTAAAAAATGGAGGTTCTGAGTATCTCGAATATCATGAAGGGGGCATCCATTACGAGTGCTGCATGAAGGTTGTGTTCTTCAGGAGAGGTATCGATTACCCATTAAGTATTAATTACCCGTTCGCGCATAGAATTAGGTAGAATAAATCGCTAAAGGCACAGAATGGGAAAAGGAAAGAGAAAGGGCATTGTGCTCAGGCGAATTCCCGAAATCAACCACATTATGTGGGGGTAGAGAGTAATGGGGACAGGTTTTTGAATAAACAGCCTCATTGATTAGAAATAAGAGTCTTTTGCAGCTTTGCAATGTTTCCTGTTCAGATTTGAGCCCGCTGAAAATTTATTCATCATTTTATTTGTTTATTTTACACACTCGCGGGTGCACCAACAAGAAAACAATTACAAAAAACACTAAATAAAAACTGGAGCAGCTCATATCCAGTCACAAGCAGATAATAGCACTTTGATGGAATTCGATTCAAAACCGCAATCCATAGTTATGCACACTAATTTCTGCAAATAAATGAAGTGACTGCCTCCAAATCTTGCTGCTTTTGAAAATGTTATTACCCCAACGAGACTTCAGGCGAAAGCTATCTGGCTCAAGCCCAGTAAATTTTTTGAAGAATCAAGATTTTGATTTTGGAATGCTAGGTGACAAACATCTCAGGATTTGATTTTTCAAGCTTACAATAGGCAAATTCAGCTGAGATTCACTCAAAGTCTTTGTCACACAATCGCGCAGAATATGCTCTGATCCGTGAGATCTCCATTTGATTGTGACGCCATTTAGTCGCGCACAGCCCCTACTAGCCCGACACCATCTGTTCATTTTCCTATGGGCCGATGATTGCTATGGACGAGACACTTCTAGCTATTACACGATCGCGCGCATGTATGTAACCGGGTCGGAATGTGCAATGCTGTGTCTACCTCTTGCCTACATAATACCCCTTCACTATGCGTTTGAACCATTATAGATTATGCGGGCTGACAGAAATGTTGATCCCTGAAAAGTAAATGGTTCTCCTCTGCTCGGACCTGAGAGACTCTCAAACGGTTTTGCAAAGCGCCAATGCTAGTTATGTCAGTGCAGACAGTGTACATACTTCATCTTTTTCTCTTCTTTGTATGTTCAAGGAGAAAAAATTCACCGATAAAAATGCGATGTGTGGGACATCGCATGAGTACGGGAATCGATTAGGCTTAAAAGTGCAAATGGCTTAGTTTGTACCGATTGTTTTCACCATATCAGTTCAGACAACTTCCATAGGAAAAGAAACATTTGCAACGATTCCATTTGTTTTTGTTTATTATCACAGAAGTTTCTGCGCCGAATATGGGAACTCTGCAAGAGTTTGATCGAGAACGAAATCTTTCACAGCTTTCCACAGAAGAGCTGCAAGGATTTTGCTCTCAGATATCCAGCGGCACTTCCGGTCAGTTGTCTGAGATGAACTAGAATACATGCCTAGGCTCAATATGTTCTCTGCACCGTAAGGAAAGGTCATGACATGAAGGCTCAGTATGTTCCTTTGTATCTTTTCTAAGTATAGAATTTTAGCTTTAATAAGAATAATAGCAGAAAATCATTAGCTAAATGTTATTTACCACGTCGAATGAATACTCATAGCTAATAACCGCCCTTATAACTTTATCCCGCTGTATGACAGTATGTAATAGTGTTTCAATGTTCTGATTGATCTACACTAGGTGAATTTTTTTTTAAGAGCAACTTTAAAACATCTTACTACATAAATTATCTAGTAGTAAATGTGTTGAAAGCTAGGTTACATTTGTTTTGGAATTCGCATAATATCTACGGATGGATTCTCTATGTTCATACGCTTTTATAAGGTTTTGTTTCCGAGAAGAACATGCAGATTCCGGATTTTATTGCAATGTTTGTGTTTTGTGAAGGCAGGAGTAATGACATTCGTTTTCTTCCGCTAATTTCATTCCCGTGCGCATCAGCGATGTTGTTGTCTCTTCAGTTACCTTGGATTGGGTTGTGGGCACGGGCATTTTGTCTCGCTATTGCGGCGGACCCCCTCCCCCCCCCCCCCCCTCTCCCGAAGACGTTCTGGTGTCTGGATGAATGAATGGCTGTGCTCCTGACATATGATATCTTTTCGCCTGCGCGCAAACGTTATGGGTTTCAAGAGGACCGGATATCAACTGAAGCTTTGGGTAACCTCATAGTCTCTATTCTGGAGCTAGGCGATTGAAGGGATGGATGAGGGGGGGGGGGGTGGCAGATTTCATTCTCCCCGGAACTCTTGTCAGTGCACATTTCCGTAGGTGAGTGCATGTCGAATTAGTGCAGTAGCGTCTCTCGTTCGCAAATGAAGGACTAATCATGGTCGCCTAGGTGTAATTATGGCTCTGTTTCTGGTCAACAGCACCTCTCATTGCAAAGCCTAGCATTAGGGAGAAAATGCGTTCTTTTTCTGATTCGGGCTATAAAAAAATACAAAGTGTACTTCTTCTTTCTGTCCCTTGCGTGCTTTATTTATTGAAGTATCAAGCATTTCTAGAGCGAGGGAGCAAAGAAAGTTAAGAAGGTTAAAGGAGTTGGGGCAGGAGCGAAAAATGAAAAGTCTTGAAATAGCTTATTTGAGCTTGATCTTGAAGCAATTTTAGATGCATTCCATTTCATGTTCAAATAAATTTATTCATTTGAAGGTGAGTGGAATGATCTTGCGCTCACTTTTGACATTATTATTATTCGTTAAGATTTAGTCATTCAGCAACATTTGGTGAGCATCAGATCATCCCTTAATTTTGCAGCTTTTTCTTCTTGCCAGTCAGCGTCAGATGACGGGTTTTTGATCAAAATCTAGAAACTTCAAAACTGCATGTAGTTTTTCTGTTGATGACACTCCAGTGCATTGAAGCGGACATCGCTGCTCATCATAATCATTAGCGAGGGAAAAGCTGAATAGCATCCTAATTTCTTTGTCTACTGTGAAGGGTTTGTTTGATTTGGTATGCTAGAATATGGACGAACTCTACAACTACAGTTGGTTCCTCTATCTGGTTTTGAAGAGACCTGAAGTGAAAGCTTGCTGAAGTTGGCATAAAGTACTTTGTAGAAGCCATGGGAGATGATCATATGTCACTGTTTTTTTACCAGATGTCGTGCCGAATGGATCTCTGGAGCTATTAGTCTATTAACTGTTGAAAAATTCTTTGAGCTGAGTAAGAAAACGAATATGCATGGCTTTTCATCTACCAACGACACTTCAAAAGCGTATCTTGAGGAAGCATATCCTGCAAAAATGCGAAGATGCATTCTTTTGGAATTTTTCTTCTTGAAACCAGGCCAGGTTTTGTCTCATCCAAAAACTCGAACATCACTTCATTTAGTTTGTTAGTAGAACTACGAAGTTGAGCAGCAGCTTCTAAGTGAGAGCTTCCTTTTTTGAAAGCACATTATTCAGCACAGTTGCCCGTTTTGATGCGAATCACATAATTCTGGCTCGCTTTTTTTGAAATTTAGCACTCGTGTTTGTTCCGCCCATTGGGACCAAGTTCAGTATTCAGCGATTTACGATAAGAAAGACTTTGATGAAATTGCAAGTTAGTTTTGAAGGTCGTTATTGTTATGGATTACCTCAGCACACGAATGACAAAGTGCAAGAGTTTTTTGCATGCGTAGTTTTTATCGACGTTCTCCTTGAGAGCATCTTCAAATAATGCTTGCATTCTATACTAAGCATGGGAAAGAGCGCGTTAGCGGAGCTTGAAGAGGGTTTTCTTTAAGGCCCGTATGCACGTACATCCCCGCGGGGAGGGGATGTGCGCTTAACCATTGAAATGATCCCCGCTGGGGATCCCCTCCCCTCCCCGCGCGAACCCCCGTATGCACAAAGACAATATCGGACAAGGGATCCCCTGTGGGGAGGGGAAGTGAACCCTCTTATGCACAAGAGGGGATCAAGCGGGGAAATCACCTTGCTTTCAAATTTTCTATGAAAAACTCTTTCTTATTTCATATTTTGACTGCAACTCATCTTCATCTCCTCACTTTCATTAATTTAGGGTTGCGGAATGCGCGTATGCAGTGACTGCGCTCGGGGCACTAAAAATGATTTTTTCTACTCCCATTATGTTCCTGCTTTCTTGGATGCTGCCCACTTTCGCTCATGCTGCTCCATTTCAGCGTAAAAATATTGGACTATAGAAGTTGATGTGTCTCTGCAAGGGAATGGATAGAAGACGTTATGCTGCCGAAAAGGGGGGGGGGGGTGCCGCGCGGACGCTCAAAGCAGTATTCTAACACATAACAGAAGCTGCAAATTGTGCCAGCTCTCCATAAACGCTGTAGCTATCAGCTGCATATCGTCCTTTATCCCAGGGGAATGATCCCCAGCAGCCATCCCTGCTATGCACAAGGGGAACGCTGGGGAGGGGATCACTCCCCAGGGGATTTCTACTCAGAAATAGGCAAATATGCTACTTTCTAGATTTTTTCGAGGCAGCTTATGTTAAAATAACAAGATAATGGCAACATGTCATGAAATATAAAAGTTACAATGTGTTTACTCAGCCTATATAGTTAGAACTATTATGTTATATGAAAAATGCGCAAATTTCCTGAATGATCAAGAACTCCTACAAATAATCGAAATTGGCAGCTATTGTTGCTCGGATTTCTTCTGAAGAGGCGAATATAAAAAAGAAAGACAAATTGCAAGCCACAGGTCGCTGAGAGAAGAACCCGGCTTTCAAAGAAAATCCTCCATCAAAATGAACGAAATGCTTGGTAATGACTGAGCAGAACCAGAATATCCGCGTCTCTGGCATGATCTACACCATCGAACCCCTACTTCATTGCAGGGGATGTCGATCCCCTCCCCCGCGTTATTGAGTTGAATTCGCGCATACGGGGTTCGAGTGGGGGAAGGGAAGGGATCCCCTCCCCCATTCGAACCCCGTATGCACTGGGGTTCGCTCGATCAATACCTCTGAAACCATTCACACCATCCCCGCTTAGGTGCAGGGGAGGGGATCGCTCCCTTCCCCTCTGTCATGGCGGAGTTCGGCGGAGGGGATCGTTCCCCTGGGGATCCAGCTCCCCTCCCCTCCCCAGCGGGGACGTACGTGCATACGGGCCTAAGTGTTATCCAATGCGCTAGAAATATTACGAGAAATCTTGCTTTTGGTCATTGAACTTGAAAAAATTACGAAAAGGTGAGAGTATTGTTTGGCATAATTTGATAGTGTCCACCATAATCCAGTAAACTTTTACATTTTTATGAATAATGGATTTATCGCGCAAAAACGTTTTTTACTTATAATAGGTACTGATGTAAATATTTACGTTTAAGAGCGAAATTTGATATCTTCAGTATACTTGTTGGGTAAACTTAGCTTTGAAAGGATTCTGAGCCATTAGCTGGGGGCTCCATGAATTTTTTTTCCAAATGCCGCACACTTCCTAAGGTCATCGAATGGTAGTCATTTATTTTCGATTTATCCCTTTACCAAAAGCCCTAGCGTGATTGTACCATATAATTCACCTTCGCTATAAATAATCGTTCTTTAACGACTTTTTAGCACTTTTAGCGCTAATCGTTTTTACGAGCTTTACTTATCGCAAGCATTCTAGGAAATCCATTCCATTGTCGATGATCTTTCTGTACGACTGGGAGGAGTTGGCGAAGAATGGCTTACAAATAGCGAATCGTCTCCGAAATACTTCGAATTTACACCGATTGAAATGCATGCCATTACTGAGAGGCTTCGGCTTCCGGAACCGACAGCTCCAGGTGAGTAGGGGACCTCTAGAAAGAGTGGGTATTAGCTTCAATATGTATGCCAGCCACCAGCCACATGTCCATTTGTTTGATTACACATGATTAACTGTAAAAAGTAGGGTTGAAATGTAATAGCTGATGTTCATAATAAGACTTTTTTCACTGAGATTAGGCAATTATCATAACGGTTTCGTTGTTAAGACCTGAGAGAAATTCAACATTGCAGAATTGCCCTAATTTGCTCTGAAAAACCTTTGGTTGTCTTTGAAAGTTACAATTACCGGTTGGTAATGGGATTACCCTAGAAATTTCTGAATAAATTGTGTGCGCCAAGGGATCCTGCCGAAGTTTCCGAAACACCCAGAAGAATTTATTTTTTCGATTGAGGGCACAAGTTAGGCTTTACTTTTTCCGTAAGGGCATGTAAAGGTTGTCAAAGCGAGACAAATCAGAGCAATTCTTGATGGCTTGGGAATCTACTACAAAACTGTTTGTTCTGAGCAAAATCTTCTAGTTTTATCTGAGCGCTTCTAGAGCATAGCGTCCTGAAATCGTCAGAATTTCCAACGTTATATCAATCTTTTGACAGAATTGGAAGTCAAGTTATGGTATTTACAGTGCAACCAAATTTTTAGGCGTAAAATGCCATCGACTATGCATTGTTTAGCTTTGAAAGTATTAGGTTGATGCAAAAGAAGTGGCCGATTTTCCAAGCCTTTTTTCAGGGCAACTTTTCCCCATCAATTCTTCTTCTTTACAATAGATGTAGTATACCATCGCGATGCTGTTTTCATGCTCTATCTAAAGGTGCTTAAAACGGGCTCTCATCCTCATCTCTTATAAAGTTACTGAGCTCCAAATAACCGCATCCAAATTCAGAATTCCATTGCATCCACTTTTTCGGCCGGTATTCAAGCGCGTAACAATGGGATTTCTTCGAAAATCCAGCTATTTATGTAATAGAAATTTTCTACATTATGCATACTTAGCTGCATTTTTTGAGGTTATCCAGACTGAGATATCGGCACCTAAACATGGGTAGCTGTTGCGGTCATTTTATGACCCATAATTTTCTTCTGAGGAAGTGACTCGCCGAAGCTTTGCTCAATTCTGTAAGCGTAGAGATAGGACATTTATTAGCAGTTTTTGCAAAAACATCCAGCTGTTCAGTACGTAGAGAATCAGAAAATTCTATATTTCGGACTTCGAGGCACACTGAAAAAATGTTGAAAAAACTGAGAAATTTCAAATTTCAATTTTTTCCTTCTCGCAAACTTTTTTGTCCGAATTCTTTTTATTGTATTTTGTACTATTGGCTTGCGGCTATAAGATAGGCCACTTATCATTTATACTAAAAAACTTTGAAGGAAGTTATGAATTGTCAAATACAAGGTTTACGCAGAAGAACCTTTTTTGTCTTTTACTCCGTATTTCTCTTCCCGTTTATGGTTGAGTATAAATAAGTATGCGCTGTATTGCGAAAGGTTTGCTGCTTCTGGGGGTCTTTACCGCATTCAGAAATGTGGATTTTTTAAGAAGTTTTAACACATCAAAGTGAGAATTCGCAAATCGGCCATTCCTTTTGCATCAACCTAATACCAAGCAGTAGTTAGTAGTACCAAGCAAGAGTTCGAAGCTGTTGATTTGTGGATTCGCGAACACTCAAGAGTTTTTTAGATCCTCGAATGGTGGCCGATCTCGGTAACACGATTGATTTTCTCCATCGAGTGCGTGCTTTGAAAATACGCGGATCGAAAGGATATGTTGGGACCTCAAACATCGTTTGGAATTCACTATCGTATAGCCTTCATTTCTGCAAGAACCTTTTGGCTTTATGGGTAAGAAGACTTGATTAGAGGTTTTCACATTAATTACTGCGCATACTTTGTAGATTTCGGACTCGGACGTATCCAGAGTGTGCGGCTTAGGATCTGTGAGACAAACGTTGCGCCGGCTCGTCATCCATTATTCTATGAATAATCTCAAGGTTTGTCAGCTGGATCTGATTTTGAATGGAAATCGCCTTTTAGCGCATTCAATGCATTGATAATTTCCATTTGCTAGGTATAATTTTGGCTTATTCGTTAGAAAATCTTTTCTGGCGCACATTTACTGAATCAAAATTTTGGTAAAAGGAGGTAGATTAGAAACCAAAGAATCATTTTTTTTAAAGGATTTTGACCCTGATTTTGCAAGAAAAAGAAGCACCTTTACATCTAAAAGTAAGGTTTTTCCAAGTTACACAAGGACTGAAGACTTTTCAATCAGTTTTACACTGATAAGGACTGAAAAAATTTTTGTACCACATTTTTTACGAAATCGTTTTTCTTTGAAGTAAAGAAAAAGTCTTGCATCTGCTTCGACACCAACAATTAGCATTGTTTTCTTTGCTTGATGTTTTCATTATGATTTTGACTTCTGTAGGAGACTCAATTTAGGATCTTCTTCTCGATGATGATCCCTTAATACCGATTATCGAAATGGAACCTTGGGCATGCCTTGAAGAAGCGGACTTTTCCTTCAACGAACTGAAAGAGATAGACGAAAGCGTTGTGAGTTGTCCTTTTCTCTACCTAACGCTATGCGTGTCACGTGCGCTTGTCATTTACTTCAAAGGTCTTTGCTTCATTATGAACATTCCTGGGTTGCACTTTCACGAAATGATCAAAATAACAATGCTCATAGTCAGCAAAGACGGACATCCGGCGAGCAAGGGAAAGGGGGGGGGGATAGAATGATATTGTTCATGCTATATTTTTTGCACATTTTTCCTATTCAAAGAGTTTGTAACCTGTTACAATTAAGATGGAATTGGTTTTATGAGCAAGGTAGTTGTTGTGGTTGTCTGCGTTTGGACTTTTTTGGAAATTTTACTGGATATGACCTTTTATAATTTCAGCGACTTCTTGGAGATGTTCAAAAATTAAACTTCAGTCACAACAATGTGACGGATATTGGACCTTATCTTCAGCACCTAACGTGCCTTACAGAATTGGATTTATCTTCGTAAGCATATCTCATTAGGTTTTTCGAAACATAACAATTTGCTTATTTTTAGTAATGGGATCACGTCCGTACAGCACTGGAACGAGATGTTGGGTAATTTGAAAAAGTTGATCTTGGCAAATAATGCTATTAGAGATGTTTCCGGTACGTAATATTCAAATTCAGATTGGCCAAGCTTTCAAAATTTTATTTAGGATTGGCTCGACTGTACTCTTTGGAGTTTCTCGATCTGCGACATAATGCTATAGAAACAATAGCTTCTGTGCAACCTCTGGGTGGTCTGCCATGTTTGGAAGTTTTACATCTTCGTGGAAACCCTGTCCGAAAAATGGTCGAATATAGGACTAGAATTTTGGAAGCTTTCGGTGATAGAAGCTGGGAGGTCTGAAAATTTTGGTATATTCGCTGTATTTTTGAACTAATCGTTTTGTAGGTAAAACTTGACGGGCGAGCACCAGATGATCGTGAGAAAGATACCATACGGCTGCGATTAGCTTTACGTCGTGCAAAGGAGGAAAAAGAAGAAAAAGAGAGGAAGCGAAGGGAAAAAATTGAGGAGAAAATACGGTCAGTGCACAGCCACTTCAATAGCGGGTTTGTTTTGGAATTTTCGTTGCTTTCATTCGTTTGTGCTTCGAATCACAGCGTTACTGTTTATTCGCACATGGGGCGTGATTAGGGGTGATATTTTTTGGTGTTAGTCTTAGGTCATTTTATTCTTCCATAATAAAGAATGGTAAGGGTTTGCATTTACATTTTAACAATTGCGGAATGAGGCAAGTGATCGCGGTGAATGTGCGCCCCCTCCCTCCCCCTCTGACAAGTGGTCGCGAAATTTTTGAAAGTTACTTACATGAGTTATAAAAGTGTGCAAGTGACTTATTTATACTTGTAAGTAATTAAAATAATTTTCAAAATTTTTTAAATTCAATTTAGTCTTATAAAATTTTTTCGGAGGGATGGCCAATGCCACGCCCCTTTTTCTAAAATTGGAGGGTTATGGGCCAGCGATTTTGAGAAATATACCAAAATTCTTTTCCGGGTGAGTGGCTAAGGTATACCGGAGGTGCCGACGCTCCCGTTGAGTTGCTAATAGTCCCCCGCCCCCCTCTCTTTCGCAAGTTTGTACTCCGAGGCCATGAAAGTCAACTCGCTGTGGTATTCCATGTTTCCATATTTATGTACTACATGCTGTTACGATCTATTCGCATTTTCTCATTCCTGTTGGTTTTCATGGTCCCATGGCGTACAACGATCATTCCGAAAGTTCATTCGGTTTTCCCAAATGGGCATTTGATGGAGTAAAGATTCCTAAGAGATCTTGATAGCATCCGATGCAGCCTCTTTCCAATAATGAAATCGTCACAGCATAATAATGAGCTCTCGGAAAATAACCAAACTCTGGAATGCTTTTTGAGATGGTCACGTTCCATAATTTTTCTAAACTTTTTTTTTATCACTCCTCCGAAAACCAAATAACGTATCTACCGAGCAAACCCTACAGGATGCAAAATCTTTTTCCACAGCTTGTCATGTTTTTTCTGATAGAATTTCAACTAATGCTATTATTTTCCATATTTGGTCGACCAAAACCTCGTAGAACATCAAAGAAAGAGCAGCTCGGATGCTGTTTTATGCAGTTTTCTCTCCTCTTTCTAAAGGGTTTTTTGTTTTCGATTCGTTTCTTCGGGGATAAAATCTTCATGACACATGTTTTTTAACTTGCCTCAGGCTATACCCGAAAAACTCGAGATTTGATATACGATTGTAAACTGTCATTTGCTTTGTAAAATTAGTGGTAAATCATAGTAACATTTTGAGGGTTTCAAATCTTATATATAAAGCTGAATGTCTGTTTGTCTGTCTGTCTGTATGTCTGTCTGTCTGTACGTATGTTCCGAATAGAAAATTCCATTTCTGAACCGATCCGGACCAAACTTGGCACACATACACTACGGGCCCCGGCGGGTGTCATAGGCTACTTTTCGTCATCGATCGATATCGATTTTATCGATTTTTTGCAAAATTTGAGCTACGGGACTGGGAGTTGGCACAGGGGGGTAATCGAGCATGCTGATCCCCCCGTGGGGGTGATCAGTATGCTCGATTACACCCCCTGCCAAATTCCAGCCCCCTAGCTCAAATTTTGCAAAAAATCGATAAAATTGACGTCGATCGATAACGAAAAGTGGACTGTGACACCCGCCGGGGCCCGAAGTGTATGTGTGCCAAGTTTGGCCCGGATCGGTTGAGAAATGAAATTTTCTATTCGGAACATACGGCGGAGCCGGGTAAGCCAGCTAGTTTCGTATAATTATTGGTGTTTGATGCGATTGTGGCTGACGTAAGCCCGCTAAAATCCGATGGTTTTGAAAGAAATCCTTTTGAAAAATCAAATCGAGCTGTAGAAAAAAGAAAGAAGTTGTTTTGTATCCAAAAAGGTTTGCTCTATCGAATCGTTACTTGGAATTCTTTGGAGGATTGGTATAAACAAAAGATACTGGTAATAATGGTATACTGAAAAACTGTGAAATTTGACCATTTCAAAAAGCGGGTCGCAGATTTTGGTGATTTTTCGAAAGCTTATCAATTGTACATGAACCATTTTGTAACCGAGGAAGAGGATGAAATGCTGCTTCGAATGTTGCCAAGATTTCATAGAAATCTTCATTCCATCAAATCTAGCACCCGTTTGAAGAAAAGCGAACGAACTTCTGAAATGAGTCACCAATACGTCAGAGTTCTCCACTTTTTATTTTTGGAAGGATTTATATCGTGAATTGTTATGAGGTTTTGAGTGAGCTCCAGGTTTTCTCCAGTGCGTTTTTTTTTTATTTATATAGTCAAATGAATTTTGCAGGTACATATCTGGTGATGTTGGTGTATTCTCAGACGAGGTGGAATCTAGTTAACAATCTCACGACAGATTGGCTTTGAAACTGCACTGCATAATAACTTTTCAAATACAATGTGATATATTTATTGAGTGTTAAGAGTCTCGCTTAGACATATTGATTCGCAAGATTTCCCAAATTCTTCGTTTTGAGTGCTTTTGTAGTGCAAATTGTACATACATTGCAATCTCCCTCATGATTTGTGAACCCTGATTGGTGCACATATTTACAGTAATTGTACTTCATATTGCCTTGGTGCTTTCGCATTCCAATCCATTCTTACTGTGATACTTGCATCACTTCAAAGTAGGTTTTTATTTTCATATTGCAATTCCGGTGATGACTGTATAGTTTCTACTTACCTTTCTGAATGAATAAAGGTAAATTTATCTGCACTTTTATGTCACCCTTGGTGTGGGTCCTTCGTCTTATTTCGCCTGCAAAGCGGCTTAAGTCGTCAGAAAAGAAAATCATTGCAGATAGTGTCTTGCTCGCGTTCAAAGTCGTCGGATGTCTACTATAGACGATCGTTAGTTTAGTTGTATTCTTAAAATTTATATGTAAGCTACCGATACGGCGCTGAAAATTTTTTACTTTACACTGTCATTCTTTTTCGCTATCGCTGTATCTTTGCATGCTTTGTTCTATACGAAACATCTTAGTTCTTTGTTTTCCTTCTTCTTTTCCACTTTTTTTTTTCCACGCTCACTTTTTTTGGCGATATGGCAGGAATTGTTAGGAGGAGAGCTGTTGTAAGCCTATTTGCAAAGAGAAGTACCAAAGTAAGGCATCATGAAGATGAAAAATGAGAAAAATTGAACATCGGATGAGAATTGTAGCATTGGGTTCCTTGAACTTGGGTGAAGCTTAATACATAGTGAAACAAGGGAGGTTCACGAACTCGAAGTGACCAATCACTACAAACTGCATATCATTAGTGAGAGCCCAGAGCGCTCTTGGGAAAGAAGTTATAAGCATTCTCTTAGGCAAAAAAATGAGCCAACTGCCGGGATTAAATTAACCCTTACAGCCTTCTTAGACGTCAAATGGAGAAATAGGAAGTCATATACTGGGCAGAAGGAGTTTGATGTATGGTGTATCTTGACACTCGCCACTGCAGTTTTTGAGGTCTAGCGAGTCTAACGTTTGAATTTGTTTTGGCCGTTGTTTCATTTTTCCAGCCTCAGAAAATAATCATAACTTCTTTCCCAAAGGCGCTCTGCAGATAAAGAAAGCAGATCTGGAGACAGCGTTCCAAGCTCTCATTGATGGATTGCAGGATTGTAGTGATCGGCCACTTCAACTCCGTGACCCTGCCTTGTAAGAATTTCTGGATATCCAAAGTCGAGCAAAGCCGATTGTTTCCCTTTTCAAAAGCCTTTCCCTGCTGCGCCTTGCAGCGAGGTGTGAGGTTACACTTGACTATCACAGAATATTTTTGTGGTTGAAAAGGAATTCGCATTTTCATGAGTTCTACATTTTCCATAAAGGGATGAACGTACGAGGTTTCTCCTCCAATTCCTACAAATGTTTCTCCATCTTGCAGCTTTGCAGACATATCTTGCAAGAACGGCATGATTTAACTTTTCAAAAGGCAATAGAAACAAGCTAATCGATTTTAGCGATATGGACAAGCTCTAAAGCGCGTTGTATCTACTAATTTTTGCTTGTGGCCATAAAGAAGAGCTGCAATCGTTTTCCTTTTGAAAATCTCATTTGTCATATCTTAAATTAGAGCCTTTGTGCTTGGATATATCCTGTGGAGTTTTCGATGTGACTCTGCATGAGGAGGTGCATAGTACAGATTATTTTTGATCTTCCAATCTTCTTCGATGGGAATTTCATTTTTTCCATTCGATCTCTCAAATCTGTTAGATTAAATGGGTATTCTTTGTTTGCTCAATCGGGTTGAATGTTTGCATATGATTTCCTTAATTTTCTCAAAATCCTTCAGCAGCAATTCAGAAAAAGTCTCTTCCTTTGCAGTATTTTTCCTCCCTCTTCCCTCAGGCTTTCTTCAAAGCCAGCGTCCAGGCAGGTTTGACACATGGGGATCTCACGTGGATAGTGATCTTGGGGCCTCAACTAAGCCACTGTCCAACCGGCAGCTCAGGTAATGCTCTAACGGCCGGGGTATTCTCCTCGAAACTGGACCCCGGCATCGTATTTTCCATGGTATGGCGCAACGCATGGATCCTCGCGCGAAACTGCCATGAATCCGTGCGAATACGATCATGGGGTCCAGTTTGGGGCGTATATCTCAGCCGTTAGTGAGTCACCTTCGCTGCCGCTTGGGCAGTGCATTAGTTAGGGCCCCAAAATTACTTTCCACGTGAAATCCCCATAGGTCCAGACTTACCTGGACGCTGCCTTTAACTATTCTGCTGCGCTTGTCTTTGTTAGGCTACATAATTATGCCAGTATAGTAAACCTTACTTTTTTCAGCCAGTCATCAGAAAGGTGTGCTTTTAGTGTTACCATCTTCTTCTTCGGACTCCGAAGACGATGTGGAGGAAGAGGCTCAGGTCGCGGTCATTAAAGAGCCGAAAGTAGCGTCCGTCCTAACCCCTCTCCCTCCTGTCGTAGCAGTAGAGGACGTAAAGATGGAAATTACTCCAATAGTGCAACCTACTGTGCTGAAAGAGTCAATACAAAAGGCATTCGCGGAATCGATTTGGAAACCTGTCATCGACAAAGGCGGAGCGGCCCCTAAGAAAAGTGGGAGTATTTAGTAATGGAATCATCTTGGAAAGTTTAGATTGATAAATTTCAGAGGTATCAGTGGATAACGCTATGGAAAAGGAGCGATTTCTTTTGATGAAGTCCGGACAAGATCAAAATGCAGATAATCTATATAGGAGACGGGATCTGATCAAAAAGCACATAAAGAATGCAGAACAGATCGTTTTTGGTGAAGATAAAGGTATCGTCGAGTATCATCTTTAACTTTACTTGTGAGCTTGCACACCATGCGCGGTAATTGACGTCACCCTTACTGCTACTCTTCAGTAATACTTTTCCTACATAGTGTTATGAAAGTGTGCGCTATTAACAACGTTTTCAAAAGAAGCTCAGGAGATAAGGGAACAAGAGGAACTCAGTTAAGTATTTACAGTCGTCAAGTAGCGTGCATGGTGTGCAATACGCTAAATTGAGTTGAAACTAACTGAAGATCATACATATCAATGCCCAGATGTAGAAATTAGCAACCACTTATTGTAGGAAGAGGCACTGTAATAAACGAAGACTGGACTAGTTTTTAAAGTCTGGTTAGAGTCAAATCATTGTTTACTCGATCTCAGGCGTTTTTGCTGTTATCAAAATCCTCCGGATACATATCAGAAATTCAAAAATTTTCAAAAATATCAGATACGGTGATCATAGATTATAGTCATCCTAAACCTTTTTTGCAAGTGTACAGCATTATTATACGTTCGCATTTGCAACATGTACCTCATATTTGCACTCAGCAAGCTTGACTGATTTGGAAAACTTTCTTTCCTTTTTTGCGATAATTTTGATGAACATGAGTCCAGAACCGCTCAATGAAAGTCTATAATCTCGATAAGTGCTATCACATTCTTTCATTGCAAAAATCCAATCGAAAGTAATTTCCTCAGTATGATCTTTTGAGATTTTTACAAGGGGAAGTGAATTTTTCAAATATTAGAGTGAATAAATTTTACAGACATTTCAAGTGTGCGCAGTTTCATCGAAGAACGTTATCGTCTTCACTTTGGTCTGGGTCCAGATGGTCATCCCAGAGAACTTTCTGCTGAGGAGAAAGAAGAAGTCGATTACTTGATTGAAAATTCAGCTTTTATTACCAAGGTTATTCTGCGTATGCATGATTTGGAACCGGATGATTACAGTGAGTTTAAATAAGCAATCAAGGGTTTTTCAAGGTAATATTGCTTTTTTTCAACATTATTTTATTACAGAAGGAAAAATTGATAATTTCCATATGCAAGCAAAGTTGGCGGTTTTTCAAGAAGAGAAAGCCATCAGGGACAAAGAGCTACAGGATATGAATAGCGAACGGCAACGTATATTCTTCCAGCACAAGTAGGTCTCGCAAAGATTTTTAGTTTTTCAGTGGATAATTATGAGATAGACTGTTAACAAAGTGCCATGAAATCATACATGTTGACTTTGCAAAGTTTTTACGTTTTTTTTTGACAGAGAGAGGTCGGAGCAGTTGTCCCGAGCTCGTGCTGGTGAAGAAAGCTCAGATGACGATGTTGATGACGATATGGAAGAAGGCGAAGACGATTTGGCTCGTCGCCAAACTGAAATCGAAAATGAACTGATCAAGAAGATGAAGGAGATGAAAGTCGAGGTCAATCCAGAGCAAGGTTTGAACATTCTGCTTCTGGTTTTTTTTTCAAAAGAAAAATTCTTAATTTTCCTATTTTTAGTAGCCATTTGTGTCTCTGATATGATAGCAGCAATGAGCATACATACTACTCCTTATGAGCGTGTCAGAGCATCGAGTCCACCCCGTCAGGAAGAGTTGGTTCAAAATGCAGTAGTTAAAAATTGGTACCACTTTGGATTTTTTTTACAGTAAGGGCAAACCCCTCATAGACCTTCCTTGGTCGGCGGAGAATGATACGAATGATGATGAGCTACTCGAAGAAACTTCAGAAGGTATAAGAAGGTTTTTCATTGTAAAAAAATATGAAAAGGTGATTACTTTAGAAGTAGACCTTACCGAAGATGCAGCTTTGCGCAGCATAGAAGGAAAACACCAAATTTGTAAGATTACTGTTGATTCAAACGCTTGAAGTAATTATTGCGATTTTCAGTGTTCGATTGGTCCGAAGACATATTTCCGGGTGAGTAATTTCTCTAACTTTACTAACTAAATGATGTGGTATTCTGAAAATTTATCTGTAAGAATATGCAGAGCTGTTATTATATGGATTCTTCATTAGAGGAAGCGTCCAGGCAAATCAATCTGAACATACGGGTTCTAATGTGGAGAGTAATTTTGGGGCCCTAACTAAGACACTGCCCAAGCGGCAGCTCATATGGTGAACGCACAGTTGGGATATTCGCCTCCAAACTGGACTCCGGGATTGTATTCGCGCGGATTCATGGCGCGACACGCGTGGGTCCTCGCGCGAAATTGATGCGACGCGCCATGCCATGCGAATACGATCCCGGGGTCCAGTTTGAAGGCGAATATCTCGACTGTGAGCTCACCATTTGAGCTGCTGCTTGGGCAGTGCCTTAATTAGGGCTCCAAGATTACCGTCCAGGTGAGACCTCCTAGGTCCAGATTTGCCTGGACGATGCCTTTGAGTAATTCTGATCTCATGTAAAATAAATTTTTATGTAGTCTACCTCAAAATGAGCTTTTTTTTAGATGATGACAATACGGCAGTGGGAGAAAAGCGACCGCTTGATGTGCTTGATGTATTAGGTAAGGGCCTAAATAGTAATTTTGAACTTGATTCTATGAAATTCGCGCATTTCTAGAATATTTTTTCTTGCAGATTTTCGGCCAAAGCGACGAGCTGTTGAGAAGAACGGAAATGTTGAGCCAAAACCAATGGACACAAGTTTGTACATTACTTTTTTTTAGGGCGCAACGCTTTTTTTGACTAATCAAGATAACTCTTTTGTAGCTCCACCACCCGCACATTTGCGATCTTGTCTGAAACACCATAATGAGGTAGAAACAGATCTTAGTCATGCACTTCGCAGCTCAAAAATATGAAAATTTTTTTAGATTCTCACTGACATTAATGAAGATCATTTGTCAGTAAAGGAACGAATAAAGTGGCGTACAGCATTTGAAACGCATGCGGCAAAGAAGAAACGTGTACATTTCACAGGTAATTTGAATTTTTTGGGAGCTTACTTTGGAGGCACCGTGCACCCTAATCCGAGACTGGGTTTTCATGTGGTAGACTAGCGAGGCTCTAACCAAGTGTCTGTACAAGTTCCGCTGCAAAAGACGAATTCCGAAGCAGGAAAATTGCTTCGGAAGATCTATGCTGCTGGGGTCGCCACGCCCATCATCGTAGGTGGTAGGTGAATGCTGCTGGGGACGCCACGCCCATCATCGTGGGTGGTAGGTGAGGCCGAAACTTGAACTAAATAGTACTCCTAAAAGTGTCGAAAATTCGTCTTCCATTGTGTAAAAACACATCTCGACATCTCTAACCGTTCTAGAGTCGCATTGTTGGACCACCCACGTTGTTGGGCGTGGCGACCCCAGCAGAATTCTCCTACTGAGTTTTCTCGTTTCGGAATACACCTTCTGTAGTCCTATGGCAAATACCTAGTTAGAGCACTCACTATTGTACTGCTTGAATCTTATCAAGCTCAAATGTAGGTGGACGTTGCCCTTAGGAGTTTTGAGAGCTTACAACTTTGTAACCTTTAACGTATTTTTAGATTTTGATGATCCACGGAATAAATGTCGATTTTATGTTCGTCCATTGGATGATGGCAACATCACTCACAGGAGTGATAACCTGCTGAAAGATGTCTGCAAACAAGCAACTTATGTGGTGAATTGTTGAAGTCTTTGAATAGAGAAAACTTCATGAGGGTTTCAGATTGAAATAGAAGAACGTAACTCAATTTCGTTGACTTTCGAGGGTAAAATACGCTGCATAATTCATGTCAGTTTTGCTGTGCTAGAACTTATTCTTAGAGATGACTTTTTTAGACCTACAATGTATAAATTGTATGATTAAGATAAGTTTATCCTGTTTGTTCGAACCTTCCATCCCACCTGAATGTAGCAAACTATTGATTATTCTCGAAAGTTTTGTCTTTTTTATGAAAATCTGTTACTTCTTGCTATGTGCTATTTACATGATATTGGTTTTTGCTAAAAGGTACTTCACAAACAGCGCCTTGAGTGGTCTTGGCAGAAAAAGTCCAAAGCATGAACAGTCTAAGTTTTGGACACCTACTTTTTCTAATCGAAAATTTTTTATGCTACAGTACCAAACAAATTTTTTGACATTCATAACAAGATGGGAATTTATTGTTAGCACAGTTTTTGCGTAGGTAAGAAAACTTGCCTGCTATAGTTTGAGCGAGTACAAATTCTTCAAAACTTCTGAAACTATGTATCATATCAAATCTTTGATTTTGTTTCTTATGACTTATTTTTAGGATTGCACGTTGACTCATGGACGGCAGATTATTTATAAGAATTTGGTAAGTGAAGGCATTATTGAGGGACAAGTTTATGAAGGTAATACTATCGTAAAACATCTAACACATGTTGAACTATAGGAATGCATTGTTTCCTGAAAGTTCTTCCAAAGTTTCTATGTCATCGCTTGCAGTATTCAAGAAGCAACCAGTTTTTTGGAGACGATATATCTTTTCGAATGCCAAAAAGTTGGAGTTTTTTTTTTGTAGAATGCGAGAAACTTCCTTTTCCTGTTTCTATCGGTCTGCCTGTAACTTCCTGTGAATTGAAAGATCCCATTTTTTTGGAAAAAAAAACTAGAAAATAGACAGTGTATTCGATCGTTCCGGAATAATTTTTGCTCAATTTAAAAGAGCCCAACATGCCGTAGAATAAAGATCCTCGAAGGCTTTGAAGCATATTCGGTGCAACTTATCACTCTCTTTCAGGTGGGTAGTTTTATCATTCTAGTCTAGCCAACGAATCCCAGAAAATGGTCAAAAACTTTGACCCGTCGTTTTTGCCTTGGTCATGTTTCGCTATTTCTGTAAATTCTTGTATCGGACCCTCCTAAGCGGTCCAATATCGTGAACTCTAATAGTCCAATAACCAATAGCCATGTAACCGATGGGTAGTTCAAACCATACAGGATACAGAATATTTTCTCCCTCCTCTCTATACCTCGTCATATTTTTTGATAGAATTTTATTTGATGCTGCCAATTTCCATACTTGCTACTCGTAGAAGGTCAATCGGCGAGCAAAGCGTTGTCATTCAATACAGTTTTTCTCCTTTTTCTCATGCATGTTTTTTTGTCTCCTTCTCATCAGGTTTTCGGGGACGAAATCATCATAATTCATGTTTTCAATAGCGCCCCGGGCTGTACCCGAAAATTCAAAATATCTCGGAACCTTAAATGCTCATTTACTTTGTAAAATTAACATAAAACTGCTAAAACATAGTATTTTTTGGAGGTTCCAGATTCTGGAGATTTATAAGGTCTATCGCTGTGGCTGAGGTAGGCCTGCCAAAACTTGATGGTTTTGATCAGAAATTCATCAAAAAAATTATGACCAGATGGAAAGGAGGAACAGTTAGTTTTGTATCCTGTGGGGTTTGCTCTGTCTATATGTCAGGACTTTTCTGAGGATTGGTACAGAAATCTAGAAAAATTGCGAAGGTGATCATGACAAAAACGATGGTTCATAGTCTTGGTAATTTTATGAGAGCTTTTTTTTGATAGCTACAATGCAATCATGACCATTTGAAAGAGTGGGAGAAATTGTATTTGAACGCGAGATTTTCCAGAACCTTTGATCTGCGCGATGTGACGCTCGTTTAAAAAGAAGCAAAATCACTTTCGTAACGACCTAATATTTCACCGTAGTCCACCTAATTCTTTTCGTCGTTGTAGCGAAGACAACCTGCAGCATCGGCGTCCAATTCGCACGACCCCGAAGCTTTTCTTAAAAGATTGGCGAAGCTCAGGGATAGCGACAAGTTCGTGACAAAGTATTCAATGGAGTGAGTCATATTAATTTCGATTTTTTCTTTGTGAGTCTGATTTTTCCTCAGAAAAAAAGGAAACAGTCGGAGCAGGCTTCTTTGAAAGGAGAGTACTTTGTTTAAGAAAGCGATCGTAATATTCAATGGAAACAAAATCGAAAGCAAAGCAATAATCAAATATCCAATTTCCTCCGATCCTAGACACTAGGCGGAAATCAGAATAAAAGTAGTACGGCCTCTCCTGGATCTCATCAGTAATGTGGGAAGGCCGTATGAATTGTAAACATGAATAGAAAGAAAAATAAAAAGACTAAAAGCTTCCTAGTGGAGCCGTGGAGGTGCTTACAAGGGAAGGATACTTGATCAAAGTGGCGTTTCGTATGTGAGTATACTATCTTATAGAGCATGGAACGCTGATTCCAAATCTGCTTTCGTTATCTGCAAAGCGCTTCTGGGAAGGGATTTCTAGAAATTTTTTAAGTAGAAATTTAATGATTTTGCTAAGATAAAAGTAGGTGTTGAGGTGTTTGCGACGCTCGACATTAGTTAAATAGATTGAAGGTCTTGATTCCATAACGCTCCGGTAGTAATCATTGCCCCGTTTGAGCTCACGAACTAAGGTTCTGAATAATTTTATTGTAGCGGAGCTTTCAAATTTTTGCATCGAGGAATTCCCATAACTCCCCCCCCCCTGAAGCGTTTTGCAAGTAACGAAAGTCGGTTTCAACTCAGCGTTCATGCTCCATAAGACAATATACATTTTCTATGGAAACGCCACTTCGACCAAGTATCCACCCCTTGTTAGTTGTAGAATAATTTTTTCTCAAGCAAAGAAAATGTTGGCATGAAGTGAGATGAATTTGAAGACTGTGTGTTACATAAAGTTTTGGCCATACTTCCGTTCTAACAAGGAAAGGAAGGTTGGTCGAAGTGGCCCTCTGAAATGAGACGTATACTGTTCTGTAGAGCTTGGAACGCTGATTCCAAATCTACCTTTGCTGCGGGCTTCTGAGCGAGAAGTTATGAATGTTTTTGTGAGTAAAAATCTGAATGCAAGAGTAGGCTAAAATTAGTCGTAACATTTTTTATAGGGCTTAGGTAGTCGGGTCACTGGTTGCAACAAATATTCTTGAGTCAATTATACCAATTCGCTGCTGCCTCATTTGAACATTAGGAAAAGGTTATGACTGATTTTACCCTATTTTTTGCAAAGATTTTTACTCACAAAAACCTTCATAACTCCTCGCCCAGAAGCCCGCAGCAGATAGCAAAGGTAGATTCGGAATCAGCGTTCCAAACTCAACAAGGCAGTATACACCTCATTCCAAAAGGCCACTTTGACCGACTTCTATCCCTTGTAATTGTTGCTGTTGAAAGCTATTGGTAAGTTCAGGCATCCTTCGCAGTTCTTAATGCTTGACATTCGCGAGTTGAAATCTGCAAATGGAATGCATTTACCAGCGTTTCCGGGAAAAGAACCTCCACAGTTACAGGATTTGGTGGGTATCATACTGTAAATTGTTTACTAGTTTACATTTTTGAATTTTGAATTTTTTTCTTTTCCTTTACAGTCAAATGGATCCCGCGCTCATCTCCTGTCATGCTTCCGACTTAGCATGCAACATTTCATACAAAATCGGGCTGGGATCACTAAAGTCAATCACATTGATGAGGCTAAGAATCTGGTTGCAGGTTAGATTCTACTTTGAAAAAGTGTTCTAAAATCGCTTCTGTCTGGATATTTTCAGGAATTCTGATCCTTAGCGATTCCCTTCTAAGGGCTGTTGAACAAAAGAAGTTATCCAATGCGGTAATTCAACGTTTCCATCCGTCACAGTGTGCTGAGTGAGTGGAAAGTTCTTTCAACATGCATGAATAAAGGAAAAATAAACAACATTTGTATTTTAATTTTCGAAAAGTTCTTTCAACACACATGAATAAAAGAAAAATAAACAACATTTGATTCAATTTTCATCGTCAGCGCTTCGTTCATAGTTCTTTGAAAATATTTTTTGCGCGGATATATTCATAATGTGTTTCTCTTGTTCAACTAAAATGAGATTCATAATAAAAAAGACTACCTGTGCAAAAAAATGAAAACTAGAGCTCAAGCGCGCGTACGCCGTTCAGCGCGGAGAGAACATGGACCGGAGAGACGCAGAGACGCAGACAAACAGATGCAGCGACGCGCCGAGTCCGTAATCTGTGCATTGTCTGCGTCGCTGACTCAACAAGCTGATCACGCATCCTTTTTCAGATTAAGTGAACTGCCTAGCTATTTTCCGATTAATTCAAGTTCGAAACAAATCTAATTTTTTCAACTTTCACTTTTTAGAAAATCCTTTTTTCAGAGACATACTTGAAGTGCTAGATCGGTGTTCCTATGAAGAGTTGGACCTCCGACACTGTATGCTAGCTTGGGGCCATGACCTTATCGCGTATTTCCAGCAGAGCCCGATCTTGGCAGCAGGCCAGGCTCTTGCGTAAGTTTGTGGACGATTTTCCAGATTTTCTTTTCTTCAAGTTGATGATCTTCTTGACTACTTGATATCCTATTCACCCTGTGTTTCAGGTCGCTTTTTTATATCCGAGCCACTTTCCAGAGAAAGAAGCAATTGTTTGAACAAGAAGGCTACAGGAAAAGAAAGCTCCCCACCTTTTGGTTGCTGACCATACCTGAGGTATTACATTTCCATTTTCGCAATATTTTCTCATTGTTTTTTTTTTTGCAGATTGGAGACTTTGCCCAACATTTCAAGATTTTTAACAACCTAGTGAGGGCGGTGTTCAATGAACAGTGAGTATGCTGATAATTCGATGGCTTTAATGGCCTTCTATTTCAGTCCAGATTTTCGGATACTAGATTGGGCGCAAGAGGTTGAAAAATCCAGGACTAGAGAGAAGCGCAGAAGCCCTTATACGAAGATCGCCGTGGAACAAAGGTTTGAAAGCATTGCGTTTCTAGAAAGTATAGAACGTCTAACAGCTGTTTTCTTAGGCTGAAACAACTTTTTGATTTATGCCGAAATGAAATGGATCTCACCTACTTTCGGTATTCAAATCAGAAGAACGTGGAGCGAGCTGTTGCTTACAGCAAACATGACTATGACAGCGGGTAAAGTGACGGTAAGCCGACCTTTAATTAATTATTGAAATGCATAAAGGTACTATCCTCGAGTCAAGTTTAACTCAATATATGAGTCTGCAGACTACGCGCGGCAGTCGGCCACATCCTTACTGGTACTGTAAGACCTTTTCTTTTTCGATAAACTGGAAAATGTTGTACCAATGATTACGTTCCAATAAAATCAAAAGAGACATGAAAACAAGGCGAAATCACTGGAAATGAGCGGGTTCTAATATTATAACTCGTCAAGTAGCGTGCATGGTGTGCAGTACGCAAATCAAGTTACAAAGACTCTACGGTATAATAAAACGAACATGTATGACCACGTAGGACTACTAGTTCACGAAACGAGATTTTGAAAACCGAAATGAAAGCTCAGTTTGCCTTCTTCACCATTTACATAGCGGTTTAAAATTGATGCGCACTGGAAGAGTACGAAAATAGGTTTAGATGCGGAGAGCTTCAATTGTCTTTGTAGTACAGGGTGTCTTAAAAAATGTATCGTACGATCTTCATTAACTCTCTCATTTGAAGAGCTTTCGCGGCTTTCAAATTCCATTGTAGAGCAGGCTTTAATTAAGACTTACAGCATGAAAAGAATCACCAATCTCTCTTCATTACGGTAAGAATAAGAGTGCTTCAGTTTAAAGAGTGCTCCACTTTGCCTCAGAAAGTGAATCAAGCAACATGAAAACTTTCAGACTGGGCTAATCAAGCCGCTATCTGTGAACACGGAGTTTGCATTTACTGTAGTGGTTTTTTCGTGAGCTATGACAAGTAAACACTGTTTTCTCATTGTTTTATATAAGTGCTATTATACGCCAATCAAAAGCCTTTCAAAACATCTAAGAGCTTAAGCGGTAAGTAAAATCAGCATGCCTGAAAACATCGGTACACAGCTTTTTAGGTTTTTGATTTTTTTGCGAAACGGCGGCTGCCACAGTGGCGCTTTATGTAAGAAATTCCTACCGTAATCCTACACTAGGATGGGCGAATTGCCACAGACTGTGATTCTAATTCGTAGCCAGTTTCTCCAGCTTTACAATATTGTGCTTGAATGTTGCGAAAGCTTTCCATAAAAGAGTTACCAGAGATCAAACGTTGGACACAATTCGGATCCCCTGTATATTGCTCTTAGGGCCGCATGCACTAACATCCCCGCGGGGAGAGGATCGCAGCTCAAAAGAAAGCTTTATATTTCGAAACTCCAGATACCTGAATTTCACGTTGTGTTCCATAAGTATTCCTACTACCCTTCACTATGAACATGTTGAAGAGGAGCGAGAAACTTTACGAACCGCATTTTCCAGCTTTTGTATGATCTCTGATGATCCCCGGCGCTTTTCTTCAAAGTCATTTTTCTTTCTCCGAAGTTAACGAAAACCTTCCGAAGTTGTACTGAACATCTAACACAACAGTGCTAAGCATGTTGCTGATGAGAACAAATGAGTTTTTGAAAAGTCGAATTTTTCGGCAAACCTCAAATTTCGACCTGTGGATCATCGAAAATTCCATGGCTTCAAAACATCATTTGTTCTTATCAGCAACATGCTTAGCACCGTTGTGTTAGATGTTCGGTACAACTTTGGAAGATTTTCGTTAACTTCGGAGAAAAAAAATGACTTCAAAGAAAAGCGCCAGGGATCATCAGGGATCATACAAAAGCTGGAAAATGCGGTTCGTACAGCTTCTCGCTCCTCTTCAACATGTTCATAGTGAAGGATAGTAGGAATACTTACGGATGGGTACACAACGTGAAATCCAGGTATCTGGAGTTTCGAAATATAAGGCTTTCTTTTAGGCTGCGATTCCCTCCCCGCGGGGATGTTAGTGCATGCGGCCCTTAGTATGAATAGAGGATTGGAATTGTTTCGAAGAAAGATACTCTCTTCCTTTTCATTCCTGTAAGAAATTTTTTTTATATTTTTAGAGGCTTTCGATGGATATGGAATGCACTTTTGTTGCATACGTCATGGCGCACTATTCTCTGTTCTTGTTTCTTGTTTCATTACATAGATGACTGTCTACCGGGTTGGTCGAAATATGCCCATTATTGTTTACGTATCATGCACTACTAGTTTGATTTTTGATCTGCTTTTTTGCCATGGTCCTTCGTCTGCTTCTCAACCAATATGGCTTGATTTTTTTTGGCTATGGTGCCTACATATATGTCATCTACCTTCGATTATCCACTACCTCTTCTTCTCATACATTTTGATCTCTACGAGTACATATCTTCGGTGGCTCTTTATGCGTTTTCGTTGTCTTAATAATTTAGAAGATTGTGGTCCGATATGGGTGGCTATTGATTATTTCGGGAGTTTTTCATATTGTATGGTATTGCTTTTTGTTTGCTTTTGATTTATCGCTTTTGCATGCTCATAAACATCTTCACTTTGTCTCGTTCACACTATTGCTAGTAGTACACACAAACACTTAACTAGTTTTTTTTACTAGGCACTTTAGCCTTCAAACTATATTACTTTTTTTTCTGATGTCTGCCTCCATATAGCAACAACATTTGCGCTGAAGTTCCTATATATTCCTGTATTCCTGAATCTTGAGAGCACTTTAGGTTCTTTTTTCGACAAAAATCATGTCATTGTCGAGTTTTATTGACCTTTTTCTTTACAATAATATGAGTTTAGTCTTATAGAGGAGACTAGTCTTTTTTGTTGAAGAGACCCTATTTCAGACTTACAGCATTATATGCTACAAATTTTGCTCATAATCTAAGACTATTATACAGGGTTCCCAAAAAAATGTTAACACTCTTTGATCTTTAATAACTCCCTTGCTTTCATGTATTTCGCCGACATGGAGACACCATTCTGTCGAGATTCAACTTAGATCTGTAGTAAGGATCGTTCGCTCTTCGTTATAGTAAGATTATGGCAAGAAATTCGACAAGGATTTTAAACAATTAAAGGCCATTCTCTGCCTCGGAACAGAGCCAAACAAGCCAAAATCTCTTGTACTGCGGTAATGGAAGCAGCTACTTTCAAATATGAAATTTGCGCTTTACTATGATGCTTCTGAAGTTACCTAGGTAAACTGTATAATAAATGACTTCACAGCATGTGTCAAAATTGTGACTACACGGTCAAAAAAGCTGAAAACACTCGTAGAAAATTGTGTAGTAGAATCAGTGTGTGCGAAAACCGTAGTGCACGATTTTTCAGATTTTTTGAGAAAAAATTTTGTCAGATGGCATATTTCACAACGGTTCCGCATGCTGGAAGTCCTTACCGTAATTCTACAGTAATAAAGAGCGAAAGGTGATTTGCTCCATACTATAAATCTAAGTTGAACCTCGCTCTATGAAAGCAAGGGAGTTATTAACAATCAAATAGTGCTAACATTTTTTGGGACACCCTGTATAAGTAGCGGTCCCAGAAAATCTTTTCGGAGACGGGCAACAAAAACCTTTTTAAAGGGAAATGCCTGGGCCACGACATTCACAAAATCTTTGTAATGCTTGACGGAATTTTCGCGTCCATGATTCCGAAATTTCAAGAAAATTGGGCATGCGTCTGCAAAACAAAGGTATTGACAGACATGAAATCATAGCAAACAGTTAGCTTCTTATCGCTTCTTTGTCTGGTCATAGTAGATATACTGTAATATTCAGCTGCTAACCCTTTATGCTGGCTTCGTTCTTAGCGCAATACTCAGCAAAGGTATTAAGGGGGTATTCTAGGTTCATACACAGTGTTGAAGTTGTGAATGGTTCTCTAATTGTATATATTCTCTTATTGCGATTTTATGAGGAAATGTCGTAATTTGCATATAAAAATATTCCAGATCTTGCAGAAAATCTCCAAGACAACCTCGCATGTAGTGCGCCTTGTGGCAACCAAGTTCAGCGCTGTAAAGAAATTAGAGAATTTTTGGGAATTTACAGGGATTACTGTACACATCATTCTATAGCTAATGCTTCATTTTCGACCTAAAGGAATGCTTGTGGATATGTCATATGAATAACCCTAGTGAATAATCTAAATATACATCTATCCATCTAACAGATTGGGTCATTGGAGTAAAAGAAAACTCGAGAAAGAATTTTGCAGTCGCTCCCTCAAAGATGTGGACTCTTAACAATAAATTTTGACCGCACTCTCACAGAAGCAAAGATCATTGCAAATCTTTTGGAGGTCACTGATAGAAAAGGCTATGAATGAGTTTCAATACTCTGCAAAGATTATTTGTGGCGGGAGTTCCCGATTTGCCTCAACTGGTTTTGTCGGGGCCTGATAAGCCCGCAGCCTTTATAGTAATACGCAAACCACGTATAGTCAACATTTCTATCAATACAATATCATATTACAAGGATGAGTTCAAGGTAAGATTTTCTTTGCTACGAGCAATTAAACTTGAACAAAGCTGTTGGTGTTTGTTATTTACTTCCGCTTATCGCTGCCGTAAAATCGAAAGTCCTGAGTTGGGTTTTACGTTGAGCAGGCGTAATTTCTAGATATCATTCTCCGCATGTAACCTTTCAGCTGTTGTTGTGTAAGAGAAAGCCAATCTACAACACTTTTTTTTGCTCCTTCGTCCTTGCGTTTTTGCAAAAAAAAAAAAGAAAAGTGTGGAATATAGTTGAATTTGATGATTTTTTATTGAAGTGGTGAAAAGATTTGGTGGTGAAAAAAATTATGCTATATCTAGGCACCATTTTTGTTACGATATACGCATAGCCTCTTGTTTTTTCTTCTGGAGGCTTTACTTTAACGAAATCGATAGGTACTCATAGTCGAAATCGGCTTTCTAAATGAAATATAAACCATTTGAAGGGCATCGAACGCTGCTTCCAAAACTGTCTCTGCTTTTGCCAAAGGCCTCTAGACTTATGAGTGTTTTTGAAGCGAAAAATGGCAGCAAAATCTAGGTAAATTCAATGGTTATAGTCTTTTGAGCGCTAAAATAAAGAAGTATTGAGCACGAGTATACTAGATAAAAGGTTTTCCATGCATAAAGTGGTCTGATACCAAACTCTGGGCCAAATGCGCAACCTTGGACGAATTTGTACCATTTGCACGTTCAATTTTTGGGCCAAAAAACGCTCATAACTCAGCGTCTAGAGGCGCTTGGCAGATAACAAAGACAGTTTTGGAATCAACGTTTGAAGGTCTGCAGATTGGTATGTCATTCTTGTGAAAAGCCGATTTCGACTTTGGGTCGTCCCCTTGTGTATCAGAAAGTGAGGAGAATGAGGCAAATCTGGAAAGAATATCTGTATTGGAAAATGGCACCAATACGTTCCGTTCTCCATCCATGCTACAACTGTCGCTTTCGCAGCAATTAATTTGCAAATAGGAATTCGGAAGCCAAAACTAGAAAAGGAATGGGAGACTGCTGCAAAGCGTAGTACCAAAATTTGCTCTGCAGTCATCTCTTCGCTATAGGGGATTCAGCCATTTTTAAACGAAAACAGGAGGGAAGCATTAATGTTGGTGGAAAATATTCAGAGAAGATCTAGTGGTGCTTTAGGGTTTCTCGAAGTTAAACTTGAAGTGCAAAAATCACTTTGTAGTAAGCAGTTTAGGAAAATTCGGTGATATTTCTGCATTTTCAACTCTCTTCATTTATGGTTTCTGGATCTTGCCATTTTTTGGATTCTTCTTCCATTATCCGAGCAAGTATCTAGTCACAAAGTGTGCAGAATATCTAACTCAACGAACTTCTTGTTTTTGACCAGTATTTTGAAATTCGATATCATGTATAATTCTGTCAAGATATGGTATGCAACCCTAACGTCTAAACTTCATAGCCTTCCTATGAATTCCAGAAAATCGTTGCTCAAAAAGCCCTTCATTTTTAATCTTCCATGCTTTATTCATTCCCAACGACTTATAACATTTCATTTGAAAAAGCAGTCAGTACTGGGATAGCAAATGTATGTTCTAGTTTTTCCAGTAAAGAATTCATGCTGTGCTCTTGCCATGTACTGTTAGATTGAAGTTGTTGCAATCCTTTCTATAGTCTTCCTATCGTATTTTCGGTCTACCATTACCAAAACGTCGCTCAGTGTCCAGTACTTTAGAATTTCATCTTACTTCGCTTCGTGTTATGCATATTCTTGGGAAATTGCCATCTCTTTCGTCGGGCTGTTGACACTACATCCTTCGATCTCATAATAAAACGGATCCACTTTGAATATTTTTGCCCTTTAGAAGTCCAAGCACTGATCTTTTGATCGCTGTTTGGCATTTGAGGAGTTTCATCAGCGAGCTGTTAGTTGCCGCTCACGTTTCGCATCCATATAATGGTCGAAAGGATCATTCTATTGAAGTAGCTGCGCTTTGAACACACACTCAGACAATCGTCGGGGGCAGGAGGGCACCGAAAAAATAGATGGCTGATTTCTCGCAACCCGCTCGCGGATTTTTTGAAAAGCAATCAGGACTTTTCGGGACGCCTCTGAGTTCTCGATCCCTCAGAGATTCAGCAATATATCTGCAAAAGATAAAAGCGAAAAAAGATTCAACGGGCGGTCTCTCAAAACTCGGTGACCATTCTCCTGGGATTTCCAAGTGGAATGCGAAATTCAGCAACGCGTATTTTCCGGCGCCCGCCTGCCCCCGCCGATTTTCTGGGCAGCTACCCTTTGATTCAACAAAATTGGAAAATGAAAGGCGACCGCTCGCGCCCGTGACGCATTCTGCGTCTCCCTTGCGAACGTGCTCTCTGATTACTCTCTAGTCCTGATTAAGGCTCCCGCCAGAGTGCCGAAGTTATGCCAGCGCTACGCCAGCATTTCGATCGATACACGTGTTTCGTTGGGGCGGGGCTAGCTGACGTCCCCAACGAAATACACGTGTATCGATCGAAATGCTGGCGTAGCGCTGGCATAACTTCGGCACTCTGGCGGGAGCCTAAGCCTCAAAGCCCCGCCTTTTAGCCGCCAATCCCATTGAATCAAAGGTTACATTCTCGTTGGCGAGAATCTCCGTAACATTTCAAAGGTGCTCCGAGCTACTCCAGTGCGTTCGGAAATTTCTTTGCCATCATTACGTGAGTACTGAAATATATGCCCAAGTAAAGGAATTCACGCGCTCTATGACATTGTTGATCACTGTGATAGTCAAGTTCGTTCAAGTTACTACTCTATGTTCACGCATCCACTTGGTTTGCTAGCCTTGATTTGAAGTCTGATATTATGGCACGCATGAAGAAGTTTTTTAGTCATTGTCTGGCCATCAGCAGAACGTCGTTCGTAAAAGCAGGGTAACGGAGTTGTCTCCCACAAATATAGTGGCCAACTTCATCTTGAAATAGAATCAAATGCATACTGAACACAAGTAATGAATATGAGCGGTAACGCGTCTCTTGGCGGGCTCCTCTCTGAACTTCAAATCGAGTGCTGATGCTTCAAGTTGAAGGCAGTTACTGCTTGATATAGGCGTAGTATCATCGTGATCCTGTAGGTATCGACTTGGAAATGAGCAAGTCGCCAAATTCCCAAATTGCGCTAAAGTGAATGGAATTAATTGCCCTCAAAAGCTCTACAGTTATAAAAGTGCAGCTGCACTCTAAATATCCATTGTTACTGTCACTAAATTGTTTTCTGCACACTTTCGCTCCTCTGGCTCTCAAATCGGTTCATTTACTTGTTATTATCCGCAAAGGATTACCAGTCGATCATCCATGTTCAACACATCGCTGTTTGATCGCATTTGCTCCCGTATAACAGTTTCGAATCTCTGTATCGTCAATTTTTTGCTGCTTCTATACTGCTAGTCTGACTTTCAATTGGATGACCGAAGAGTCTTTCACTATTATGTCAATTTTCGAAATGTTTGGAGAAGATATCTCATAACCCTTTTCAAGAAGGCTACCTACAACAACTGCAGCTTTTATTCTGATTTCGAAAAATTCTGCGTAGCTCTTTCTCCCTCTTTGTAAAGTAAAGCTGAGGTTGATTATCAAACTAGTGTTAGCAGCTTCTTGTCAAACTAATTTGTTATCCGTTTCGAAAGCACAGAATCTTGCTATCAATATTTTTTATGTAAAATAGTGTTTCTTATGTAGGATTCACTGTCAAAATCGTGACGACGACTTTGACTGCGGTCTTTGAGCATAAAACACCCATACAAATAGGCATCAACTCAACGCCCAGCTCAGTTACTTTCAGTGTTTGAATACTATCATATGTAAGCAGAAGAACCATTCGTGTAGAGATAGGAACCAAGAAATGAAAGTGCGTGGGTAGTGCGCGCGCGCTCGCGCCATCGTCACGATTTTTCGAATGCCCTATAGATTTAAAACTTTTTCTCCCTCTTTGTCCACGTCAAGTGAAATTGAAACCCTTCAATGCAATACTCACATTTTCTCATAAAAAACTCCTATATCAGTAGTTTGAAGCTGGATGGCAGAAATATTGTCTCAAATCACGTTGAAGCAATAAGGTCAAAGCATTTGTATCGTGAATCCTTTGATCCAGCGGCGGACCGAGGGGAGGGAGGAAGGGGGAGGGGCCCCTGGAAAAGGACGCAAATTTTACAGACATTACCCACAGAACACAAAAAATTGTGCAAGTAACTGCATTGCACTTGTAAATAATTAAAATATCACATTATAAGCCCTCTTTTCTTGTAACCTGGGCATTCTTCATTGGTGACATACTATTGTCTTACATTTCGGTGAAACACCGTCTTTAAACGCTTGGAAAGGTGTCAATCACTTTGATATAACTTTCCTCGCAACCAAACACCAATAGTAAACTGTGTCACCATAAAAACCTATACGGCCAAAAGAATCTCAAGTTATAAATTAGAACATTTTTGAATTTCTTCCAAGCAAACTAAGTGTGAAATAATATCTCGGAGTCCTCTTTGAAATGTTGGAGTTATAAGACTATAAGACAGCTAAGTCGTGAAAATAGTTCACAAAAGTCTTTGGATCAAGTGGTTGGGCCACAGCCCTCATTCGAAACAAAATTTCAATCTTCCTTACCTCTCTCAAACAAAAATTTCCAGATAGCCACTGCTATGTGTTTTTATGTATCTGTCACTTAATTCTTGAATAATTTTAGACGAGTGGAAGAGCAGGGTGCACTCCTCAACGCGAACGAATCCGACATGAACGCGAAGGTCCAGGATATCACAAAAGTTTCCTTACTGTTATAACTTTCAGCTTTTCCAGATCATACCGAATATGGAAGGGCAAACGAACAAACCAAAATTTCATGCTCGTTGCAGCGATGATATTCTCACTGAACTAGGCCTGTTCGTGTTTAACTTATCGCTCTTCGATCGTCTTACCTAAATGTATTAGGCTAAACTTCCACTCCCTCTTCATAATGTTTTCAATGGGTTTCCTTTGGTTTCTCTCCGCAATGCCCACAATGTCACCAGCGTACCTGGCTCCTCCACCAGAGCTGCTCAAAAATTCAACGTATATATCTGTACAAAGCGAAGTAAGCAGAATTTTCATGGTCTATATACTTGCAAATCTTTTTCAGTTTAATCTTCACCGATCTGTAATCGATCCTGCTGAGTTGACATCTTCTATTTACTTCCTTGGTAACTTTGTTCTAGGACAAGCATACTGTATGGCGGCTGACAGGTGCTCGATCCTAGCTGGGGTTCAAAACAAAACAATTTTATTTTTTAGAATCGGTCGACGACCCGTGCTGGTTTGGAGTCTTATTGTATCTGGTCTTGCTGGAGTAGGATCTTCCATTGCACCATCATTCGCTCTCATGTTACTTGGGCGATTCATACAAGGATCATTCTTCAATGTTAGTAATTTTTTCCTATATAATTTGTGCCAATTGTCCGCATATGAAGTCCTCGGTGAAGCCCAAAGTCTAAAATTATCCATGATTCCAGTCCATCACGATGATTAACTGGGTATTATGCTGTGAATCCATAGCATTCAAAGGTCATTCCTACGCTTCTGTTGTTTTTGGTGTCTTCTGGGTAGGAGGTACTTTTGTGAAATTTTTCGCGTTGCCAGAGCAATTTTGGTCGTTCCAGGGTATTGCGTGGTTACACCAATTGCCCGAGCATTTTCTTCTTGGAGGACTCTACAGCTTCTTACATCGTTGCCTACATTGCTATTCGGAATTTTATTACTTTTGTGAGTATGACGAGCTTATGTTCGATGAAAGAATTTGAGAACTCCTTCTTGGCTCTTGATGCTAGCATTTTGATTTTGCTTCAATATGCCAATAATAGCCAAGCATGCAAGCGAGTTTAAAAGCGAAAGAATAGATAAGAGGTACATCATACAAATACTGTTTTTGAAATCCTCTTTTCAGCAGAAATTCACAATCTTGCTTCGATGCTTATCCATGAAAACTACTTTCAGAGTGCTTCCGGAAAGCTTCGGCTTTCTCGTAGCTAAAAAGAAAGCTGTTGAAGCACAATCATGGATCAAGCGATCTCAGCAATATGGTGGACGCAAATTTGAATGCGATGTGTTGAAAACCATTGAAATTGAAACCGCATCACTTCCAGAAGACGTTTCTCTTCTTGACAGTCTGCGTGAGTACCTAGATCAATGAGATACCATCGTGATCATGATGCACGCGAAAATTATTACAGGACATGTTGCTCAAAACTCGAAACTCAAACTTTACATGGCTATTCAGACTGTTCTATGGTGGGTTGCTCTGTTTGTAGTTGGCTTGTACTCTTTCACTGAAACCTTTGAAACCTCAGCATTAAGTGAAGTGTGCGTATTGTTTTCTTATGTCATACGAGGTCTGTGAAGCTCTTTATTGTGGCCTTATGTTTCGACTCAACGTCTGTATTAGTTGGTTGGGATATACGCGGAACTATATGGCTTTGAATACCACTTTTGAACCATAATCAGAATATTGCCACGCGGAGCTTCGTATACGCACGAGCACACCTTAAACTTGGGTAATTAAACTTTATCTGAACAAGAAATAACGAACACGGATAACACAAATAAAAATATATTACTAAATGATAAACTAAAATAGGAATGATATGATTGAAAGAAGGCACAAATATATGAGTGAATTAATGTCAAAGGAAATGAGCAAAAGTCGTACATGTGAATAAACCCGACTGTGCACTATCAGCTACTTATATGTGTGATCACATCATCAAGCCACAGCTGCGCGCGACATTTTACTGTTAGCTAAAAAACCATCAAATTCACTTCTGTGCTAACATCTTCAAATTCCTCCAAAAGCAAAAACGGTGCGAGCTACTAAATTCGTCGTTGCTGTACAAGTGGCAAGAATTACGTAACCACAAAAACAGGTGCAAATAATCCTCGCATTTTGGGACAGAGAAGAGTAATACGAATTGCGAAGCTCATATAACGTCGTGTTCAAAGCAAAGTGCTGCAAGAATTCAATTTTGTACTATACTCCAGCAAATACCTTATCGACCTTCAGCAGGTTTCGAACCCTCCACGACTTCATTAACTACTTGCATAAATTGAAAGACGAACCAGCCCTTGCTTCTTACCGTTGGAGCACGAATGGTGTTGTGCAACCGCGTCTTTGGCGCCAGTTGTGCCAACAAGCCATATTAAAAAGCTATGGGTTGGTATAATCACTACCGGTTTATAGCTCACATTAAGGTGTACACAGCAAGAAGTCATTCGTGATCATCAAATATTCTTTCAAACATTCTTTCATCTTTTCTATTATCGATGGGCTTCTCCGCGAGATCCAGGATGCTGCGAGAGATGTGTTAGTCTCGCAAGCCAAAACCATGTATTTAATGCCATAGTCTGCATCACCATGTTGTTCATGTTTATGCTTCCCTAGTGGTGAGTTAGACTGGAAAATTAGACTGCCACGACTTTTATCGGCTGGATGTTTTTAGACCTAACACTTAGTGGTTTTCCAGCCTCTCCAATGTAGGACGCGCCGCATGTTATAAATTCTATGTCTACAAAGTAGTACTTGGGGCTCCGCGAAAGACTTTGAGACGGAATTACAAATAGTGTGTCATCTTTGAGATGCTCATAATGTAGGTGGGCTCAGAGCCCTCTTGCCGTTTTCGCTGTCCTGCAACCCAATCCCAACTGCCGTAGATGTTACAATCCACGCAAGCTGACAAATTTCTGTGACAGTGTCGCGAACTATCCCACAACATCACAAACCCGATCACAGAGGATGCACGACTAGATTAGCAAACTTATCCTAACTACACTACTCTAAACATTAAAAGCAACAAAACTATAAAAATTAACTACGGTACTCTAAACTACCAAGAAAGAAAAGATCTACGGGAAGAGACAGCCACGTCTCGCACCGTGCATGTCCTTTTTGGCCTAATCTTCTTAACAGAAAGGCAGTGTTCGCCACCAAAGGTCGCCCCTCTCGCCTGCTTCTTGGAAATGGTGCGACTCTCCCCACTCCCGATGTGAAATTCCACCTACTTCAGATAAATCCATCACGCTACCAGGCACATATCATTCCTAAACTACTTCAGTCTGTTAGACCGCAAGCACTAAAAGATTTTACGCGGAGCTCACTGACGAAGTTGCAAAGAAAATGAAAAATCTGGTGGAGGAAGAAAACGAATCGAAAGGGCGCACGCCGCTCTTTGGTATATATACACCACGACTTGGTAACGCCCCCAGTGGGGAGAGTTCGTACGCGAATACGTAGCGGGCTCGGCAACAGCGCTTACAGCGCTCACCGCTAGCCTGTATCGAGGAGTGAGGAGCCACAGCACGCTTCAAAAATCTAGATTTAGTTCAGACAATTCAGCCTTAGCATCATTTGTCTGGCAAAACAGCCCATAATTACAGGGTTGTCGACTTCATGATCTACAGCGCATTGTCGCTAACATCAACTGATGTGAGTATGGTTCTTCTGACTTTTCAAGATTTAGGAGAAGAAAATATAACTATACGTTGTACTCGTTTCTCTCCTCTTACTTTCAAACGCAGGTTGTGGAAGGAAGTTCCGATAAAGCATTTCTATACTCGGGATTGGTAGAACTGCCATGCTACTTGTTAATGCCCGTTTCGCTGGACTGGTAGGTTAAAGATGAGATTGAGCGAGTAAAAGATTGTATATTTCAGGCTGGGAAGAAAACCAACAGTAATTCTAAGCCACATCTTGTCGGCTACTTCGCTCACCATTATGTGTTTTTTGAGTAATGGTAGGATTGATTATTGTCATCTGCGCTAGACTATCGAAAATACTAATTTCAGGCTCACATCCAGCGCTGTATTTGTCCATATGGCTGTTGGCAAAATTTGGCATGGCCAGCGCGTTTATGTGCTGTTTCGTCTATGGTTCGGAAATTTTCCCTGTACAGTATAGGAACATCTGTCTTGGACTTTGCGCAACAATTAGTAACATCGGAGCGATGATGGCACCTCATTGTACAATGCTAGTGAGTCATTTTATTTCTGGTTTATTTCATGGTTCGCTGCATGGATACCAGTGGCGACCAAGGGGGAGAGTCGCGGAGGGGGGGGGGAGGGGGACCTTCTCCCAAGAATCGGTCGCGAAATTTCTAAAATTAGTTACTTGGGTTTAAAAATGTGCAAGTGAGTTGTTAATTTTTGTAAGCTATTGGAATAATTTTCAGAATTTCTAAAAAATTCAAATCAGCTTTGTAAAAAAATTTCCTGGGGCGTAGTTGCGGCCACGCCCCGAAAATTTTTTTCTAGATTTTAGGGGTTGTGGACCCGCAAAAATTTTGAGAAGCATAAAAATTTTTTGGAGTGTGTGGCTAATGCCACGCACCTTCATTTGGTAAAAAAATTTTGCCGCCCCCTCCTGGACGGAAATCCTGGGACCGCCACCGTTGGCTACCGACGAGTGAAATGGCGGACTTAGGTGGGCGGGAACCCGCCTGAAAATTTGTCGCGAGATGTCCAAAGTTTAATTTAATTCAAATTTGAAATGTTTGAAAATTAAATTTACATAAGTTCAAAAAATGCACGTGACTTGTTTTTACTTGTAAAATGATGAATAATTTTCAAAACTTTTTTAAAATTCAAATTAGCCTTGTATTTTCGGAGGAGGGGAGGGGGGGGGGGGGCTGCAGCCGCTTCCTTTCTTGGAATTTCAAGGTTATGGGCCAGAATTTTGAGAAGCATGCCAAAAAAATCTGGAGTGCGTGGCTAACGCCAGAGACCCACTTCCCCCGCCGGGGAGAAGTGGTTCTGCCATTGATGACTGGCAATGTTATGGTTGTCCAGGTTCGAGGTTCGCGACATTGCTCATAATTCACCGAAGCTTTCTTCAGATTACGGAAGAGTTTGCCTTGCGATAAAATTTGGCCTGCAGTTGAGAAATGAGCCAAAATTGTTTGAATGGATTGATTTTTTGGCTCAAAGTTAGAAAATACAAACATCCTTGAAGCGTAGTGTTCCAGCCACTGTTTCGCAACGAAATTATGACCTGCCCAGACTAATAGGGCTTGGGAAGATTAGTACGATAGCGAAACCACCAAAAGAGCGCATGTTTATTAGTAGCCAAAGTATGACATAAGTCTATATAGCTTTATTTCAGAACCAAGTTTTCGATGGCTTCATGTTCGCTGTGTTCGCCGGCCTTTGTACATTGGCAGCTGTTCTCACGATGTTTCTTCCGGAAACAAAACATTCCCACTAATCATATCAATGCGAGTCGATAGAAGAAAAACGACGGAGATGTTGCAGGAGTACCCTTTGATTCAACGGGATTGGCTGCTGGAAGGCGGAGTTTCGAGGCCTAATCAAGGCTAGAGAATGGTAAGAGAGCACACTCGCAACAGGGATGCAGAGTGCGTCGAGAGCACGAGCGCTTGCCTTCCAGCCGCCAATCCCATTGAAACAAAGGGTATACTAGACCGAAAACTAGAAGACAACTAGTTTAACAAGATTTGCGTTATTTCTGTAGACACCTACCTCCTGCACATTTCCATTCTTTGTGATGATCACATTATCTCAAACAGCACCTTAGTTACTAGCGAGATATATAGTTCATTTTGCAATTGTGTAGCGTTATTTTATTACATGAAATGCTAGAACATCTATTAGGCTCGGTCCTGAGTTTTCAAAATAAGAAGGAAATGATCAATCCTCCTGTAACTTCTGATTTCTCCTAACTTTTGCTTTTATCTTTGTTCGAAAGCTTAATTTTTGTTTCTTGAAGCAGTGTCAGAGCGGCTTTTTATTGAGCATGCATTGCAGAGATAGATGCCATGGGAATTTTCTTTTCAATTTTTCTGTGTAGTTGCCAAAAATCTGAAACATGCAGAAAAATCGGAACAGTTCTTATTATAGATTTTGATCTGCTTTTTCCACCTGAACAAAATTGTGTTCATCGAGCATCTCTCTAGAAAGTTAACAATTTTCAAGAAAAATGAAGGAAAGATTGTTCTGTACTGCTTGCTCGAAAATCATAACCTTTCAAAGAAAAGCTCAATCAGCGCAACTTTTGTTCGGGTGGAAAGCGCAGACCATGAAACCTCTAATACCAAGTGTTGCGATTATTAGTGCAAGTTTCGGATTTTCGGCAACCTTACACAGAAGATTCAAGGCTTAAGAATTTTCGTACGCCTTCTCTGTCTGTAATGCATATTATAAAGACTTTAAGAGACTGCTAAGAGGAGCATGTTAAGCGACAAACCGCTTGGAAAAATCAGAAATTTTCACAAAATGGTGCGACTTGGGCCAACCTAATATGTTCAAGCAAGAAATATCCGGTGGTTTGTAAAGTATGGATAGAAAAGCACTAAAATTAGCGTTCCAGGTAGTATTGTTCCAGAACGGGTTTCGTACTAATTTTTTCTGCGAATAAAGGTTAATATGAGTTCACGTTGATCTTATAGATTTTAGTCAAATGCTGTCCACTAACATTTGAGGAAATAGGGTTATGAAGTGTAGTGGAGGAGTTCCTTTTATTGATTAGGATGATTATATGATTATCCATAAGAATCGATCTGCTTGAGCTTACATGTTTTCTTGAAAAGGAGCAGATTCTCAATCTAGAATGGGCAACTTCTAAAAGAGATATATTGGGTCATTTTAAAAGTTGGTTCGCCATTTCTTCGAAAAATCATAACTTTCTTTATTCTCGATGGATTTTCCCGATTATATTCACTTCAAAGAGGAAACCATGCTCTTTACGCATGACCTCTGTCATAAACTAGTATGAGAATATTCGAAAGTTAGAAATAATTGAAGGAAATTACTCAAAATTGGTATTTTCCAAGCAGGGTCACAAAAAATTCTGAAATTATTTTTTAATTTAAAGAGAAACGTTTGCTCGTAATAGGGGCACTTTTTCCATGGATTAGTATGAGGTAGTGAAAATCAGAAGGAAATGAAGAGAATCACTTTGATTTTGCACTTCTCGAGCATGCCCAAAAAATCTAAAAACTTCACAGTAGAAGCCGAAACGGTCAGAGACATACGTTTTATGACCTTCACTTTTTAGCTGAGTGGAGTTCGACCAGATCGAGAGCAGGTCGGTCTTGCGTGAAAAAGCAGAGCAGTTTCGCAAAAACTATAACTTTTCAGAGGAACATTCGCTCAGCAAAATTTTTGCCTAGTTAGAAAGACGAGATCGTAGAACACATACAGGGCATTCGAAAAATTGTGACGATGGCGCAACCGCGCGCGACACGCACGCACCTTCCGAGAACCGCATTTTCTTGGTTTTAATCTCTATGTACTCGACATGTTTTCTGCTTAGGTACGATAGTACTTGGACACTGGAAGTGACTAAGTTGAGCGTTGAGATAATGCCCTTTTGTGTGAGGGTGTTATGCTCCTGGGGCGCAAGGACCGCAGTCAAATCCGTCGTCACGATCTCATAAATGAATCTTATGTTTGATCTTGTTTCGGTTTTTTGTAAAGTTTTTAGATTTTTCGCGAGCTTTCTCAGAAATACCAAAATTTAAGTAATCTGCATTTTGCATTTTATGTCTGCTACTTGTGCTTAGTAAGACCATTTGACAAAGAAAATTATCCCACGAAATCCAGGCAGAGCAGTGAGTTACGATTTTCGAAGATTGATGCGAACGAACTTTTGAAATGGCTAATACTTGTGTTCCGACAAAGAACAAATCCTTCTTTATTTATTGTAATTTCAATGATTTGTTCGCAGGGGAAGTGTTTAAAGGAAAGAGCTAACAAATTTAACAATGCCTCTGTGCATGCATCCTGGCCACGTTCCTTTTCACAGCTCTGAAACCTTTTTGAAGACTTCACAGCTCCCATCTAACACCGCGCAGCCTTGGTCCAAACTTTGTGAACCTTAGTTACTGGAAAAATCAAGATGTCTTTTATGACAAGGGAGGTGTTTTCGCGGTTTTGGCAAGGGCGATATCACTTAATTACGAATATATAACGCCTCCTTCGAGAACGAATTTGCGGAAGAGTACTACCGGTTGTACAGTTATGAGCAAATATTAGAAGTTCCATTCGCTTACTAAAGGGATTTACACATCCGAAACGTGACCTGCTCAAACGACCTGTGCTCACTGAAACACAAGTTCACTATGACTACACTGGTCGGAGGAGGCGAAATTTTGGAAGCCATTGTAATGGGTCTTCTGAGATTTTTTGTAAAGAACTGAAAAACTGAAATAAGGTTTTCATGCATGCTGACTTCACTGAAAACCTTTTACAAAGTTTTCAAGCTTTTTTGGAAAAGCAATCGTCATGGCACCTGCAATAACTTATGAAATAAGCATTAAAAGTGTGATGCGAATTTCATACTTGAAAACAACAGCTTTAGTTAGCCTAGTATAAATGTTTGTGGCTTATTTTACCTTCTTTCCTAGGCAAAATATGGCCTATCTCTATGGTCTCAATTCTTCTGAAAGTTTCTACCGTTCCTACAGTGATAAAGAGAACTCGGTGGTGTGCTACATGCTGTACGTATGTATGCTGATGACACAAAAATTTATGGAGTCTATACTGCCGCTAACTGTTTTGAAGTACAATCTGCCCTACAGCGGTCACTGGAGACCTTAGTCGAATGGGCTTCGCAATGGAGCTTGACTTTGAATCTGAGCAAAAGTTGTATACTGCATACGGATGACTGCATAGCCGGAACATACTCAGTGGATGGGGTTCCATTGAGGTCGTGTTGCTCTGCTAAGGATTTGGGGGTTATTGTTGATTCAAAGCTGAGGTTTCGCAACATGTTGATGCTGCTGTTAGGAGAGCTTATTCGTCCTTTTTTGTACTGCTCCGTACTGTCAAAAGCAAATCACATTCTTTCACAATCATTTTGGCGCGTTTGTACAAAGCACTTGCTTGACCTCATTTTGAATGTTGTTCCCAGATCTGGAATCCTACACGTAAAAAAGAAATTGCAAGGCTTGAACAGATGCAAAAACTTTCACTCGTCTCTTGTGTATTCGCCTCTCTCCTAGCAACAGATCTCCGAATTATGAAGCTTGATTGAAAAAGTTTAATTTACAAAGCCTTATCTGTGCGTAAATTGTGATCTAGTTTTTTGTTTTCGAATGCTTAGGAAAGAAAATAAATAGATTGATGGCAAGCAAGCACTGAATATTCGTACCAACTAGTGAGAGGTTAGGGGGCTTTAATTTTTATTATAGAGCCATTAATTCTAATTCATCTAGGAAGTATAATGATATCTTCTGTAGATGCGCTCGAAGGTTTCAGCTGTTGCCCAGAAATATCATTTCATCAAAGGATGCGCGACGCTTCTGGGCTAAGTTGAAACGGGTTGAGCTTACTCGGGTTTTTTCTCGTTAGTGTTTTCTGTCGTTTTTTTCAGTTCATCTCTGGTAACTGCGTTACATGTGGTTCTACCATCGATGATGTTGTATTCTGTCGCGGCTACTTCGTGCTGCTTACATATCTTCGCTGATGTTATTTGACATCTTTTTTTGCCTACGTCCTATAGTCGGCTATATAGAATTGAAGAGAGGCCGTTATCTTCAGTTAGATTTTTGTTTTGTTACTAACCATGATCATGCCTTACTAACGTTCGCTCCAGCAAGTCTCATTCATCAGGGTTACGCTAACCAACATTCAATTACCTCATTGTAGCCTGGCTCCATCTATAGTGCGCTTGATTTCGTCTGTTGGTTTTGACTCGTTTTAATGTAGTCAGTAGTACTTATCCCTACCACTCCAATTCGGATTCTTGTTTCGTTTAAAACAAAGTTCTATCGGGGTCTGGTCAGCTAGCTCTTACCGCGGGGTCTCATTGTCACCTCAAAAGGGGTTCATCATGAGTTTTAAGGATGCAAGAAGTCTTAAGATTTTTTGTGCAAAGTGCTTTTTACTTATTTTACTACTTTTACTACTTTTACTTTTTTACTTTTTTATTTATCCTTTACTCTGTTTGCCCTGTGACTGAGAAGGTTAGTTTCATGATTGTGCTTTGTTTGAGCTTTCTGTTTGATCTTCTTTTCTTTGATGCACCTTGAGTGTAGTTATGAAATAAAAAAATAAATCTGAGATTGGCCTAGCTCTAAAGAATGGTCCCCAAAGTCGGCGAAAGACCTCGCAAGCAGGTTATGAACCAGGCATAATTACGTGATTCTCTCGCCTCGCAATTCTCCCGGGCAAGACAACTGTTACAAATTCATTGCGTGCAGATCACCATGCATTCCGGTTATGATAGTACTCCGACGCCACTGATCGCTGATTGGATTTTCTTAGGCCCTGGCCATACCTCTCGCGATTTCAGTCGCCACGAGATTTGCACTTGCCAGATCTCCTCAAACCGAACATTCACAGACCACAAACAAACTGCTTGGTGTAGTCAACTTTTGCGAGTCGAAACTTTTGCGAGTCGACAAAATGTCTATCCGTGTGCTCAAATTGGGTTTGCTTGCGACGAGTTATAACCAACTCAAGTTTCGACAACTTGGGCAAGTCCAAGACTGTGTTTTGTAGCTCCAAAAGATACCAATAACTCGCGAGTAAGCCTGCCCTCTAGGCGCAATTGGCTCGTGAGTGGATCGTGCTCATCTCGGCGGCATTGGCTTATTGGCTCCAGCATCCACTTTCGCGAGCCGCCCAAATAACCCTTTTCATGTCCGGGAAAGCGAGTTATTGATATCTTCAGAAGTGCAAAGCACATATTTAGACTCAGCTCATCCAAGGAAGTCAAGAAAGATGAGTATCCCAAAGTTTTCATTCTGCCGAGCCGCTACCTTCATGCGAAAATGCGATATATGGAAGTTACTGTAGGTACGTGGTAGTGACTGAAGTATAGATTTTCATCCTTTGGCAGGTTCATCCGAGTGACTTCAACCCTAATAATAGCAGGGTTTTTTTGTCATCCTCGTAGATTCTGAGATAAGGTGCGAAGCCCACCTCAACCTTCGCCATAACGCGTTACCGCAAGGAGTATAATGATGCTTGTGGTCACATAAGTGAATTATGTAAAAATTCAGCAGTTTCAAAGACTTAATTAGTGCACACCTGTCATAATCTTCAAAAACGGATTTACAACCGGGGTAGATGCGTCAGCGAGTGAACATAAGACTTATATGGTAGTAGAGCGTGAGAGAAAGGTGCTGAAACCATTGCAGCCCGAACTCAGGTATATAAATCACTTTTCGTGCAAGTATAATGCTTTATTCAAGAATTCAAAACGATAAGATTTGACATAATCCTTCATTCATTCCTTTGTACGCTGTAGTTTCGTGTAAGTCAGCAAAAATGACTCATCATTCAGGATCTCCTCCTAAAGACCAGTCAACTCATTTCATGTACTTTCGATACGATATACCATTTCTCGAAGCTCTTCATCATGATTTCCTTTCGGAGCGCGAGGAAACTTATTCATTGACTGTTGGATAGAAGCCATGGTTTTCTCAGTATTTTTCCTGCAAATCGAAAAGTAATAGTTATTCCGATTCAAGCGAGCAAAATTACCAGTCCGAAATGATGACTTACCCGTTCGAAACCTTCTCTGTTTTACTCTCTTTCTGGAAGTATGACTTTTTCAGATAAAGGCAGTTTATTAGATTACATATACCTTGTCTGTCAGTGTATTTGGCTGGGGTGCTGTACTGGTCATTTTTCCTTTTTCCTCATACTGCGATTTACCAATGACTTATTGCTTTCCCACTCAAGAAGTCTTTACCTGGGTTTTTGCTTCCTGCAGTTCAGTGCTCTCGGAGGGCTTCGGCGATGGCGTACTCGATTTTGGGATCTTCGCACTCACAGTGGTCCGCTAAATATGCATCTGATCAAGCACTTCCAACTAAGTTTCGAAGCTCTGGGGCACAACTACGACGAATGGAGAGGCAAAGGCAGCGCAAGCTATAAGCTGTTTGCTCGCGCTGAGCTCTGAACGCCAAAATGAGCGAGCCGTTGTGCCTGCACCAGGGTCAAGCAAGGGGTGTGGCACACGACCGCTGGTTACGACCCCCTCCCCCCCGCTGAATTATATACCTAAGATAGCATTATCTGAAGGCCCTGTCAAACACAATGGGCAACATATCTATAATGAGCGCGTCAATCAACCCTTGTAGACAAAGTTTTGGCGAATTCTGAAGATTTAAGATATTAGGCTACCTAAGTGAAATGGTCATATTCCAACATGGTTAACTTTGTTTCAAAGGTGAATTAGCTAACCGTTTTTGCACTCAAGACAAAGCACTACTCCTTCTTTGTCCACCTCAGAAGTCCCGCTTCAAAATATCTTCAAACTGTGGAATTAGAAGCCAACCAAAATCTCGTTTTTCCCATTTTTCACTTTTGATCGCTGTGCTTTCACCAAATATTAATCAGAGCCAAGAAGAAATCAGGCTTAAAACAATCCTATGGAATTTACGAGGTTTAGGCTATCGATTCATATGAATACGGTTCGCTAAAAATGTTTTTATGACATAGTTAATGGAGTGTGACACACCCCCTCAGAGCTGTGGCATTCTGTTGCGCAGATGCGTGTAAAAGGCGTTGAATCGGAATATCGGCAACTTTGAAGCATTTATCGTTCTCGGTTTTCTTGGATGATATGAGTCCCTATGCTTTGCAGCTTTTAATGATATTATAACTCGCTTTTTCGGGCGTGTGCTTTTGGGCGGTAAGCGAAAGTCCGCCCTTTAGAGAGTGACTGACTCGTAGAAGATGGGTAGAGATACTCTACCCATCTCGGCGACGATTGGATTATTGGCTCCAGCAGCCAACCGTTTTAGAAAAAGGCAGGCTTCTCCTTTCCGCCCCAACAGCAACTTCTATCCACAAAAGCAATTTATTGATAGCTCCACAGCTGCCAGGTACAGTTTAGACTCAGTTCATTCACTGGAGTTTAGAACGATAGACACCCCCAAAAGCTGCTAAACTCAGACTGACAATTCTGAGTTAATTTTAATCGTCTAATTATCCATCGTTTTTGAAAGTATCGACACACAGTGCATACGCCAAACGCGAAGGCCGACATAGTGTTCTTGAACTTCGGTTTCAAAATTCAGTCTTTGCCTTAACAGCTGCACAAAAGAATAGAAACCAAACAAGATGTTTTCCCGCCTTCACGCAGAAATTAGACGGCACACCAAGGCTCACGGAAATGTAAGTATACATATACAGATGTGAAAAAACCACACTTCTAGAGAGCGAACTGTGACAAATATTATTTCTTACAACCCGCATTTCTCAAGCATCGTCAGTAGCAAAACGAGCGAATCACTTCAAATAAGGATTGATATACCGAAGAAAGTTTACCAAGGAGAAAAATGTCTCTTTAGGAATGTGGCTATGGAAGTGGTTTGAGCTTAATGAAGAGATAAACTTCTATGAAGCCATTGCTAACGTACAAATGTTTGTCTACGACATGTAACATCGCATGACAGAATTTGAGGTAGAAATGCAGAGCATAGAACTTATCAGCATCATACTTCTGCACGTGGTAGCAAAGGACTATAGGCAGCCACTTTCGTCATTTTTTCGCAATTTGCATCGTAAGCAAAATTGCGGACTTTCAACCAAAAGTAACTTCAAAAACCTATAAAAATAGCCCAAAAGAGGTGTGTTCTCATATCACCTGTGACAAGCTTCCAGCACTTCAGGATCTAATACTTCTAACCGCCCTCGCGTCTTTTACAGCTAAGCGCGGGAAATCAGATTCGACTTAGGATGTAGTGTACAACAATAGCTGGAAATGCTTAGAGATGGCCGTTGACCGTACATCGGCGCTCGTTGCCGGTCCATTAATGAACGAATTTATTAATGAACTGGATTATAACTAGAACACGGTCATTTATGGAATCGATTATTCGTGAGCTGATAGAGTTTTCAGCCCAGATGAAAAATCATCTGAGAACGCATAAGTAAGCGATTGATGAGATTGGATGGGATAAAATTGGCCTGTCGTCGAGCCATCTGCGCGCGGACTGGTCATGCGGACCACACGACGCTCAGGCATAACACATGGATTAGCTTGAATTGCCATAGTATAATTCGTTCTTCCATTTGGTTTCGAAACGCGCAGCTCGCGCTCCGCAATGACGATGGTCCCTGCTGATAACATCATCTATATATATATATATATATATAAAACTCAAAAATTGTCAGTTTGGAGGGTATGTGCGTTATAGAAACGCCGCTCAACCGATTGAGCTGAAACTTTACACACATATGTTTTCGAGCCTTGCGCAGATGATAGGCTACTTTTTGCAGCGATTCGTTGGGTCCTTCTATCGATTTATTGATTTGCAGCACACTTTTCAATGAAAATGATTCTTATCATTTGCTATCAAAACAGGGGTATGTAAACAAGGCTGGCATGTCTCATTGTGAACTTCTTTTGACGAAGTGCAGTGAAAAGTGTTCTTGATGTGAGTCTCAATTGCTCATTTAAATGGATGCACTAAATGTATCTTATGCGGAAACCTTAGCGTGCAAGAGACCATGAGTGCTTTGTAGCGAGTGTTTTGTACGGAAGCGTGCTCAATTTACGCTTATAATCAATGCTTTCTTCGTTACATACTCAATTTAAACAATGAGGGGTCAAAATTTTTCATGAGATTGCGCACAAATTATTTGTCAATACCAGAAATAATGTCAAGACAAGCGACAACTCACATTCGCTATAGTTGATCCCTGGGACCAGGAAAGTGCGCGAGTGCAAAGTACTGCCGACTCCACAAAAATTGACGGCAAGCAGTGAATGAAGATGAAGTAGCCGGTTAACGGCAAAATGTCACAAAAAATGATCCTCATAATAACAATGAGCGCTGCTATCAATTAACTCGCGCTGCTTGCTTAGGTTTTGCGTGTTGAACTTGATTTGGAGAAAGAGAGATATGCTACCGACTAATAAGTGTTCACATTTTGTTTTTGTTCTTTACACAGTTTCTACAATGCCACCGAATACCTTATCTTCATTCCCGATCAGTGATCATTCCCGGGCTGGACCGGGCAGATCAGCTAGTAACTTATAATAACGGGCTAAGGGTTGTATACGTTTGTCTGTCTGTCTGTCTGTCTGTGTGAATCTCTGTCTGTCACGAAATTCGTAGAGCAAGTTCCAGCAAAGTTCTTGAGCTAGAATTTTGGTTGTAGCACCCTATCAGCATTTAGGTGAGATATGCAAAATCACAAGCCGATCCGATAATTGGAACCTGTGAAATTGTGCGCCAAACGGATCCACGCGACATTTCGCGCGCCGAAGTGGGCCTGTAATTTGACTTTTTCCAAAGTCAAGGTTTCGTTTAGCAAGTAAATTCGCAAACCATGGACTCCAGCCCGAAAAGTGAGCAAAAGGTCTACTTTACGCAAGATTGGCGCCAAAAAGGAATAATTGCGTAGATGATCGATTTGTCAAAGTTTTACTTGGGAATGTGAGAAAATTTCTGCGCAGAAATGTAACTCACGGTTGTCATCATCTTTATGGCGACTACAAGCCATTATAACCCCAGTAACTGATTCAGAATCGCTTTCAATCTTTGGGAGAATACTTTTTTCCCTCAAAGTCACCGATCTGACATGAAAAGCTGTCAGAATGAGTAGTTGTTTACAATTCATTCGTGATGATCGGCATCGCGAGGTAAGTTTTAAAGCCATTATTTTGGAACTACGAGGAAGGCATGTAGATAGTAGAGCCAGTGCGAGCCTCTGTGAGGCAGAGGTGACGCACTGGTAACCAATAATTTCACTCTACTATATAAGTCCTTATTCACTTATGTAGGTGTTTAAATAAGTGCAGCAAATGCAACACCGGCAATGTACGGCAGCAGTTTTGTTTATTAATTATGTTAACAAAGCCGTTTCGGTCTTTAGAGGCTACACGTCCTAAACGGCTTCATATTGCAGTCAAGAACAGCAATAAAGTACATTTAAAGCCTTATATCCAGGGCCCGGCACAGATCGTCTGGTAGCGGGCTGGACTTCGTTTTTGAAGCAAACAGCAAAGGGGATATCGTTTTTAACTTGTGGCGGCCGAGCACCAAGAATAAGCGCCATTTAGTCGAACACAAGCTTTTCGGACAGGTTATCACACGACTGACATGCTCTATCGTGTATGGCAATTGCGCGCGATTTGAAAGCAAGGCTAAAATAAACAAATTGCTTGTTTACAGCGCACACAAAAGCATATGACACCGAAATTGAACTGTATGCATAAAAAATTATTTGCGAAAGTGTTATGTAAAAAGATTTGAAAACTTATGTGAAGTAATACCTTTTCCAAAATTAGATCGTCTCCAGACGGCCACCAGACGATCTGAGATCGTCTGGAGCATATACTTTCGTCACTTCACATAAGTTTCGGATCTTTTTAGCATGGACGGATTCCCCGGTCAAAAATCTATCCCTGAGCATGAAAACATTTTCATATAATTGCCTTTCCTTTGTTTTTTGCCATCATTTGTTCACGCTTTGTTAAATATCGCGCTCTAATGCCAAAGTCTTGTGCATGCGTAGTATTCAGCTCCAATTTGGATTTTCACTCTTATCTTACGTCTTTTCTTTCAGACTAGTAAATCTTTCTTGTTTTCATCTTCTCCTAAGCAGGTAGGTCAAAAGGGACTTCGTAAAACTTCCGAAAGTCAGGGGAGACTTCGTTTTCAGAAACCCTAGAAACCGACTTGTGCCGGGCCCTGCTTATATCCATGTCACATGCCATCATGTCCCCAAGTAATCACGGAGGAATTCACAAAAATGCAGAAATCTCTTTTTTACCTTAATTTTCTTGATATGGCCAAGCATAGAAAATGCGTATCTTGCCCTTATGCTGGACTTACCGGCTTTTTTCTTTTAAAGCATGAGGCTAAAGCATGCGGATGGCCTATTGAAAGCATATAAAGTAATACATTTAAGATGATCAAAGAGAAGTTCAATAACTGAAACTGTTGAGTTTTGATATTCACTTGCGTCCATATTGATGCATACCGTTACTGTTATACCAAGCATCGAACCTGTCATGGGGGAAACAAACTAGAAATGAAGCATCATTGAGTAACCTCTTAGATTGTGTTTATCGTGTGGGCGGTGCTCGTCATCTTTATCAGTGCGTCATCTCTGCTTTGCAAAGGCTATCACTGGTTGTACTGGTTGTACTGTCCACATCTTTTCTTGCAATCCCAAAAATGATGGCTTCGGAACTTACCGCGCGATGACGATCACCACGAATGAATTGTAAACAACTACTTATTTCAAAAGCTTTTTTCATATAAGAACGTTAACTATGAACGGGAGAAAGTTTTCTCCAAAGATTTGGTGCAGGTTTGAATAAGTTACTGAAGTTATTGTGGTTTGATACTCAGACACTGGGAGCGGACGAGCCGCGGCCCTAAAAGGCATTCTTGCCCACCCACGGCCTTAATTCTGCCCACCCACGGGCTTAATTTGGAGGCATGGCGGGGGTGCGACCGACCCGCGGCCTTCTTTCATGTCAATATTATTGCTCTGGCCGAGAAGTAAGAGGAAATGAGCTCATCGGCTCAGCCGCGGGTTTTAATGATGGGGCGGAGCATTGCAGCGGCTAAGCCGCGGACCAAAATTCGTGTAAGAGTCTCCGGCCGAGCCGAGGCCTGTGTAAAATGAAGGCCGCGGCTCGGCCGCTCCCAGTGTCCTAGCGTAAAGGATACTTGCGTGAGTACGACGCATGATTAGGCTGCCCTCAATGTCGTTGGATGTGTTTCCAGTCTCCCAGTCAGGAACAAGATCAATACGTTTCTTGTGAACAACCTTGTACCTAGCATCTGGCGTTATCCAATTTTGAAGTCGGACTTGGTTTCCGATGCTGATTTCACGGTGGCTCCAATTTTTTACTGTGTATTTTCTTCCTGTGCCCGGCTTAGGCAATCAAATTCTATATGATTTAGTGACAAAGGGGAGCCTATAAATGATGGGCCAAGGCCCAAGTAGGCCGAGCTAGAGTGGCCTACGGACTGCCCGACAACCAGCCGCGGCTGAGCCGAGGCCCACCTGCAACCGAGCCTAGGTTCATTGCCGGCTGAGCCGGCCCTCTCTCCGGCTAAGCTGCGGAAGCTGCGAAAATCCAGCCAGAAAGGGGCGCGGCTCGTTCGCTCGCAGTATCTGAGAAGGATGACAACGTTACATCTTTGAGCAAAAATCTTCTCAAGTTCATAGATAAAGCCTTGACAAATCGACTATTTGCAAAATTGTCCTTTTTACACCAATCTTGCATAAAAGTACACTTTCTGCTCACTTTCTGGGCTGGACTCTATAACTTACAGATTTACTTCTTAAATGAATCCCAACTTTGGAAAAAGTCCAATCATCGACCTGCTTCGCTGCTTTGGCTCGCCAAAAGTCGCTTGGATCCGTTTGACGCACAGTTTTCACATGTTCAAATTATTGAGTCATCTTGTGCTTCTGCACACTTCACCTTCATGCTGACAGGCTGATACAGCAAAAATTCCAATTCAAGACCTTTGCTGGAACTCGGTCTACGAAGTTCGTGACAGAGAGAAACTCACACGCACAACGTAAACAAATGAGCTCGTTATTATAAGTTACTAGCTTGCATTCCCTGCTTCGCCCGCATAGAAGATCTAACTGGCTCAACAAAGCGCAAATTCTCAACTCACTGCGTTTCGGCTTTCTTTCACTTCTCATGCAACACATGGTAGACTTCCTAATCGCATCGCCTTGAATTACCGCATCTCACTTATCGTGAAATAGAAATGAGTTCTACCGCTGTTGTTTACACGAAAGTTGAATGTGGATTGGTAGTATTGATAAAAGTTCATTTTTTCCAAAATCGATAAATCAATATAAAAAGAGGGAGTTTCGCCGCGAAAAATAGCCTATTGGATGGGCCGGCGTCGAAACTATATATATGCGAAGTTTCGCGCTGATTGGTCTACACACAAAAGTTTCTATAAAGAACACATTACTAACAATCCACCAACACTCAGCTTTATAGATGTAATAGATGGTGGATAGAAATCGTTTTATTGAGTCAAGCACTTCGAGCACATTTTGAAATACTCAATTTTAGGATGCATCAACAGTTTTACTGGAACATGTATCACTTGCTCGTACTCAGATCGGGCGCATGCATACGTTAGGTCTCAGCCATACCTCAAGCGATTTCAATCGCTACGCTATCTAGCAATTTGCCAGATGTCTTAAGCCCCGAGCAGACTTCACTTTGACCGTCGCAACTGCAGTCAGACACTCAGACACTCGCGGTTGAGTCGCGCAGGGGATCCGCCCACAAAATGGGCATTCGCACCAAAATCCGGTGGACCGGCGCGAGTCATCATTTTAGTTTCGTCCCGATTTTGGTGCGATTTTATCGCGACGGGCGAGGAGATTTCGAAATAATGCACCTATACGCCAGTTCTTCCCAGCATTTGTTGCTTTTTCTCTTCCTTTTGATTTGAAATACTCTTTCAATTGTTATTTTGTACTGTTCGTACAAAATTTTTCGTCATAAGTGCATTTTTCAAGCGCTAGCTGTAGTTTTTTGAAAATTTCTACGTGAAAAGTTTTTTCTTGATATTCGTGTTCAGCTATCTCCTAAATGGATAAGATTCTTTCATCACCACCGTTAGTACTGTAAGGTATATTGCATCCGAAGTCGCCTATTATATGTCAAACTAGCTGGCTTACCCGGCTCCGCCGTATCCGGACCAAACTTGGCACACATACACTTCGGGCCCCGGTGGGTGTCACAGTCCACTTTTCGTTATCGATCGATGTCGATTTTACCGATTTTTATCGATTTTTTTGCAGAGTTCACCTACAGGGCTAGGAGTTGGCACAGGGGGGGAAGTGAGCATGGGGATTCCGAATACAATATTAGTTTTCAGAATTATCGATTACTTTTATTGATTTTATCGATTTTTTGTAAATTTTGACATGCGAGGCTGGGATTTTGCACAGGGGGTAATCGAGCATGCTGATTACGAACACATTATTAGTTTTCAGAATTATCGATTACTTTTATTGATTTTATCGATTTTTTTTGTAAAGTTTGACCTGCGGGGCTGGGAGTTGGCACAGGGGGGTAATCGAGCATGGGGATTCCGAATACAATATTGGTTTTCAGGATTATCGATTACTTTTATCGATTTTATCGATTTTTTTGTAAAGTTTGACCTGCGGGGCTGGGAGTTTGCACAGGGGGGTAATCGAGCATGCAGATTACGAATACAATATTAGTTTTCAAGATCGTCCATTACTTTTATCGATTTTATCGATTTTTTGAAAATTTGAGCTAGGGGGCTGGAATTTGGCACAGGGGTGTAATCGAGCATGCTGATCACCCCCTTGGGGATGATCAGCATGCTCGATTACCCCCCTGTGCAAACTCCCAGCCCCGTAGCTCAAACTTTGCAAAAAAAAATCGATAAAATCGATAAAAGTAGTCGATAATCCTGAAAACCAATATTGTATTCGGAATCCCCATGCTTGATTACACCCCTGTGCGAACTGCCAGCCCCGTAGCTCAAACTTTGCAAAAAAATCGATAAAATCGATAAAAGTAATCGATAATCCTGAAAACCAATATTGTATTCGGAATCCCCATGCACGATTACCCCCCTGTGCCAACTCCCAGCCCCGTGGGTGAACTCAGCAAAAAAATCGATAAAAATCGATAAAATCGATATCGATCGATAACGAAAAGTAGCCTATGACACGCGCTGGGGCCCGAAGTGTATGTGTGCCAAGTTTGGTCCGGATTGGTTCAGAAATGGAATTTTCTATTCGGAACATACGTACAGACAGACAGACATACAGACAGACAGACAGACAGACGTACATACAAACAGACATTCAGCTTTATATATAAGACTAGCGACCCTACGGGTCGCTAGTAAGTGGGTGTAGGCAGACACATTGATATCTGCCCATAATTAAGTAAAAATCCCAAGAAAGAAAATTTCCATCTTCCCAGCGACCTTTCGCGTATAGTGAGTAGTAGAAACAAAACACTATGCTCTTAGGAAAAGAAGCTACTACCAGTGACCATCCGCAAAGCATGTCTGCTTTTCTCCTGCAGATACCTTCGCCCAGATACCAAGGCTCTTAAACAAGGAAGCTACCTCCAAGCACCTGTTTAGAACAGCTGATTCATCCCAATACTCAGATTGAATCCCAGGAAAGTGCCATGTTAATGGAAGCGTCAAGTTATGTCTTCCAGCAGCCGAAAACTCAGATCTATATATATATATATATATATATATCAGTGGCGTACCGAGGGGGGGGGGCGGGGGGGGGGGGCGCGCCCCCCCCCCCCCCCGAGAACGGGTCGCGAAATTTTTGAAAGTTACTTACATGGGTTATAAAAATGTGCAAGTGACTTGTTTTTACTTGTAAATAATTAAAATAATTTTTAAAATTTTTTAAAAATTCATTTTAGCCTTATAAAAATTTTTTTTCGGGGGCGTGGCTGACACCACGCCCCCTTTTTCCAGATTTTAGGGGTCGGGGACCCGGAAAAATTTTGAGAAGCACCCCAAAAAATTTTTCGGAGTGCTTGGCTAACGCCACGCACCTTCTTTAGAAAAAAATTTTTGTCGCGCCCCCCCCCCCCCCCCCGAGCCGAAATCCTGGGTACGCCACTGATATATATATATATATATATATAGTGACCGCCAAAAAGTTGCGGACAAGCCGCCTTCCTTTTTTCATCGCTCATTTTTGGATGGAAAACAAAGATGAAAGAATGACTGGATTGCATGAAATGATAGAGCTCTTCAAGAGCTACAACCTACACATTGCGCTTTCTGGAAAATGTTTACTATAAAACTTTAAAAATCTTTTCCTAAAAAAAGTCCGAAAATGGCCGCGCCATAATGTCGCGGACATTAATTCTTCGAACGCGAAAAATTTCTTTTAGGTCCTTTCTTGGAGCAAAAACAGAAGTTTTCCGAACAGGTAAGCATACTATTTTATAGAGCTCATCGAGGACAACAATCGGGTAGTAGTTACTTCCAAAAAAACCC